TTCATTCAGTGCTCATTTAGCAGCTCGATTGTCCAGTGGCCCCACTGATTATTTGGCAGGCTTTCTGCTTCTTAAACTTTTTGCTGTTAGTATTTGTGTACTTAGCTAGTTCTTTACATTCTTTCTTGTCTTGCCTTACTATACTTTTACACTTGCCAGAGCTTATGCTTCTTTTTTCTCTTCCTCAATGGGATTGATTTCCAATTTTACACTTGCCAGAGCTTATGCTCCTTTCTCTCTTCCTCAATGGGATTCATTTCCAATTTTTAAAAGATGCTTTTTTTGCTTCTAACCACCTCTTTTACTTTGCTGTTTAGCCAGGGTGGTATTTTTGGTCCTGTTACTTCATTTTTTATTTGGGATACACATTTATTTGAGCCACTTATGTTTTTAAATAGTCTCCATGTTTGTAGATATTTCACCCTCATAACTGGTTCTTTTAATTTCTATTTAACTAGCTTCCTCATTTTTGTATACTTCCCTTTTTGAAGTTCAATGCTATGATGGTGGGTGTCTTTGGCATTTCCCTCCCCACCCCCCACCCCCCAAGGATGTTAAATTTAATTACATTATGGCTGCTGTTACCAAGCAGTTCAGCTAGATTCACTTCTTGGACTAGATCCAGGTTTTCACTTAGTCCTGGAACCCACCAGGAAAGAGGCAATTCTTGATTTAGTCCTAATTGCTCCAAGAAGCAGTTATTTAATGGGTCTAGAAACTTTGTCTCTGCATCCCAATCAATGAGGATAACTGAAGTCTCCCATTATTATTGCATTGTCTGCCTTTGTAGTAGGGCAGTCAAATTATTTTTAAAAATAATCACAATTTATCATGAGATTAAAAAATAGTCACGATTAATCACAGTTTTAATCACACTATTAAACAATAATAGAATGCTAATTTAAATTGACTATAAATATTTTTGGATGTTTTTCTACATTTTTAATTATATTAATTTCAATTACAACACAGAATTCAAACTGTAGAGTGCTCACTTATATTAATATTGGTTAAATATTTGCACTGTAAAAAAGATAAAAGAAAGCATTTTTCAATTCACCTCAAGCAAGTCCACTCAGTCTTACTTCTTATTCAGCTAATCGCTAAAACAAACAAGTTTGTTCACATTTGCGGGACATAATGCTGCTCGCTTATTTACAATGTCACCTGAAAGTGAGAACAGGCATTCGCATGGCACTGTTGTACCCAGCGTTGCAAGGTATTTTGGTACCAGATATGCAAAACATTAATATGCCCCTTCATGTTTTGACTTGTAAGTTTTAAAGTTTTACATTGTTTTGTTTTTTGAGTACAGTTATGTTAAAAAAAAGTCTACATTTGTAAGTCTTTCATGATAAAGAGATTGCACTACAGTACTTGTATTAGGTGAATTGAAAAATGCTATTTATTTTGTTTTTTTACAGTACAAATATTTGTAATAAAAATATAAAGTGAGCACTGTACACTTTTTGTACTGTTTTAATTGAAATCAGTGTATTTGAAAATGTAGAAAAACATACAAAAATATGTGTAGTAAATTTAAATTGGTATTCTATTATTGTTTAACCGTGCAATTAAAACTGCAATTAATTTTTTAATCTAGTTATTTTGTTTTGCATTAATTGCATGCATTAACTGTGATTAATTGACAGCCCTAGTTTGTAGCATCTCTAATTTCCCTGTTCATTTCAGTCACCCTCACCATCCTAGTCAGGGGTATATTCCTACTGCTATACTCTTATTGTTCAAGACTTGAATTTCTATCCATAGAGATTCTGTGGTACACAGTTTGATTCATTTAAGATTTTTTTACTTTGCCTGGATGCTTTTTTTCCACATTTAGTGCCACACCCCCACCAGCACAACCTGTTTTATCATTCCTATATATTTTGTACCCTGGTATTACTTCGTCCATTTGATTATCCTTATTCCACCAAGTTTCTGTGATACCTATTACATCAATATCCTTATTTAATGCCAGGCTCTTTAGTTCACCCATCTTACTATTTAGTCTTCTAGCATATGTGTCAAGGTCCCTTCCCCACTCTGAACTCTAGGGTACAGATGTGGGGACCTGCATGAAAGACCCCCTAAGCTTATTCTTACCAGCTTAGGTTAAAAACTTCCCCAAGGTACAGACTTTGCCTTGGCCTTGAACAGTATGCTGCTGCCATCACCAAGCGTTTTAAACAAAAAGCAGGGAAAGAGACCGCTTGGAGAAGTCTTCGCCCCCAATACCCCCCCCCTTTCCTGGGGAAGGCTTGATAATAATCCTCACCAATTGGTACAGGTGAACACAGACCCAAACCCTTGGATCTTAAGAACAATGAAAAATCAATCAGGTTCTTAAAAGAAGAATTTTAATTAAAGAAAAGGTAAAAGAAGCACCTCTGTAAAATCAGGATGGTAAATACCTTACAGGGTAATCCGATTCAAAAAGAATCCCTCTAGGCAAAACCTTAAGTTACAAAAAGACACAAAAACAGGAATACACATTCCCTCCAGCACAGCTTATTTTACAAGCCATTAAACAAAAGAAAATCTAACACATTTTCTAGCTAGATTACTTACTAACTTTACAGGAGTTGTAAGACTGCACTCCTGATTTGTTCCCGGCAAAAGCATCACACAGACAGCCCAAACCTTTTGTTCCCCTGCCTCCAGATTTGAAAGAATCTTGTCCCCTCATTGGCCATTTTGGGTCAGGTGCCAGCGGGGTTACCTTAGCTTCTTAACCCTCTACAGGTGAAAGGATTTTGCCTCTGGCCAGGAGGGATTTTACAACATTTTATACAGAAAGGTGGTTACCCTTCCCTTTATATTTATGACAATATGTATACGTAACACCGACAGACCCTGGTCATCAGCAGGCAGGATTGAACCTGGGACCTCTAGAGCTTAGTGCATGAGCTTCTACTGCATGAGCTAAAAGCCATACGGCTATTAGCTAAGGCTGTAGAGCAGTCTCATTAACTTCTCTCTAAGTGGTCTTGGTGCCACTAGATGGGACAGCACTTGTACATTGTCAATATTCAGTTGCTTACCTTCATGTGTTCTATTTAAATGGGAATCTTACATTTGACTGTTCCTCAGTAGCTCCTATCTGAATTTCACCAACTTCTCTCCTACCCTCTTTACTAAGATATAGAGTTCCCCTTTTAATAAAAATTCCTCCCTTAGGGATGTCTCTGCCTGAACCATGTTCTCATCTGTACCTCTTGGCTTTCTCCCACCCCTTAGTTTAAAAAATCCTGTATAACCTTTTACATTTTACAAGCCAGCAATCTTGTTCTCTTTTGGTTTAGGAAGAGCCCATCTTTCCCATAGGCTCCTCTTTCCCCCAAAGCCTCTCCAGTTCCTAATAAACCTAAATCCCTTCTCTCTCCGCCATCATCTCATCCAAGCATTGAGACCCTGCAGTTCCGCTGGTCTTCCTGGCCCTGTGCTTGGAACTCTCTTACCCAGCAGCCTCAATTTGGCCTCCACGCCCTCTCTCCTACCTTTACCTATGTCATTGGTACCTACCCTGTACTATGAACGTGGGCTCCTCCCCAGCACTACACAAAAGTCTGTCTAGGTATCTCATGAGATCCACAACCTTCACACCCGGCAGCCAAGTTCTCCTGCAGTTCATCATGCAGTTCTCCTGGTCATCACAAACCTAGATATCTATATTTCTATTAAGTGAATCCCTTCTGCTACCTGGCTCTTCCTAGTTATTGGGTCCTCTCCTTCAGTGGGAGCCTCAGTGTGAGGGGCTATCATGACATCATCTAGAAGGAGGTCCCAGCTATGGAATCATTTCCCTCTACTCCAGCTTGACATCTGCTTCCCTGAGACTTTCATCCTCCTCAGCAGTACAGACGCTGTCAGACTGGGGGTGGGACCACACTATTGTGTGTCTGAAAGTCTTGTCTTTGTATGTCTCGGTCTCCCTTCGCTCTTCCAGTTCAGCCACTCTGGTCTCAAGAGTCCATACTTAGTCTCTGAGGGCCATGAGTTGCTTGCACTGAAAATACACATATGCCACCTGCCCACAAGGCAGGTAATTGTACATGCTGCATTCAATACAATAAACTGGGTAGTTCCCTCTGCTGCTGGACTTCTGCCGGTATTATTTTTACTCTTGCAAGGTTTGTTTGTGACCTAAGTTTAGAGAATGTTAGGTGTAGAAGAGTGTTTTTGTTTGGTTTTTCTCCTCCTTTCTGTGTTTCTCAAGGGTTTTCTGGCGTAGTTAGGTTAAAACCCCTCAGCCTCCTCTTCCTGCCACTGAACTGTCTCTGCTGCCAAACTCTCCTTGGTAATTCACTCTGTCCCACTCTGCTTGAGAGCTGGACCTAGAAGGAACGCCTCTCTGAACTCCCTCACATAACTCCCCTGTTTGCTGCTACTGGTCGCTTAGGAGCTGGCTTTTTAAACCCCTGTTCTCACTGAGATAGGATCCCTTAACAAGGGCATGGAGCTAAAAGGCTTAGGGATGAAAGAATAGCACGCTAGAGCCTCATTAGTAAGCTCTCAGCCTAGCCTAGCCGGCCACTTGGCTCAGCACACAGCCTCCCACAACAGACCAGACCATGCTCTAAAATGTACCTAGTTTGTGTTGACGTAGTTCATTTCAAACAACTCTAAGTTAACATGAACTAGGTACATTTTAGTATATACCAGCAGGGTCTAGATGTGCATTTACCGCACAGCACACTGGTGTGCTTTAGAAATCACACCCCTCTGGTGCTCTTTGTATAGACAAGCCCTAAAGTGGTTGGGTTTTAAGTAATTCCTGATTGTAGTACTAATTGCATCGATGTCTGCTTTGCCCAAACACTACCATTTTGACAGGAAATACCACTGGTTAATTAAGAAGTTGTATCCCATTTCAGACTTGTTGCCTCTTTAGTTTGAGAGTTGTCTTCCTCTTGTTAATGGGGGGTTATAAATAGATGTCCAAGATAGTCCTTCACTATATAGTGTGATTGCTTATTTAGTTTGCTTTCATTTTGCAGATTGGCATGGCGAACTGACTTGCTACACAGAGAGAAAAATAAGTCTATTTTGCTCCTGGTTGCCTGTCCCCTGTGCTCCAAAAACTACTACTTATACAATAATTTTAAAGTGGTAAGTTTGAAAGACATTTCAGAAAGTCTGTCGTTGCTTGATGTGATTCTTTCTGTCCTGACTTAAGTTCTCTCTCTTATATTAAGCATGCCATCAGATTCTAGATAGTTAAACGCTGAAGGTCAAAGTCTTCCCTCGGATTTGTACTTACATGTAGTACCCACTGATTTCAGGGGGAACTGCATTTTAGAAACTGATGGGAGAAATTGGTGTGGAGGATGGAAAAAGATTCAAGACAGGTGAGCTAGTAGGCAATGCAGAAGCATACAGGACCTCTGCATAGATGGCTCTGGCCTCCACCAGTTTATGTATCTATCTCAGCATTTCCTATAGAGTCCACCACACTAGTATCTAATTTCAGTAAGGAAAGGAATTAACTGCTCTGCTAATTCCACAGGGGAAGGTGCAGGTGACCATCCCTTCCTCGTTAGGGACAAATCAATGGAAACTCCATGAACACAATCTCACAGGTTTCCTTGCAAAGGTTCTTCCTCCTTTGGGACAACCTGCCCATGTTTGTTTGTTTTGTTTTGTTTTGTTTTAAAGTAATAGTAGAGAGCAGCAGTACAAGTTGGTAGTTGTACTGGGGAGGAGGGGGAAGTAGCAGTCTGAACTGTGATGTGATTTTTCACTATACTGTGTGGGTTGACATGTACACCATTTGCTGTTTACATTTACAAGAGCCGTGATTAGGAGCACATCCTAATGCTGAGTAAATGGCTGTGCAGTGAGGAATTCCCCTAGACGCACTGGGGCCAGCGAGCAAGAGAATCATCTCTTACAGGCCGGAATGGCAGTGGAGGTGCTTGATAGCTGCAGTGCTCCCCACTGACTCCTGCACTCTCCCATTCTGTGGGGAATGGCTGGTGGATCCAGCCAGCTCTACTCCAACTCCTCCCCTGCCCGACTCAGTTTCCAAAGCGCCTCTGTTCCCTGGAGTGTTAGGAACCCTGTTGGAGCACAGACCTGTGTTGAGAACCCATTGCACTTGCCTTGCCCCAGCAGAAGCACCAAATCTATTGCACTTCAATTGGGGCACTCTGTAGCTGTGTAGAGCAGGCAGGTCTTGCCTATCATTTGCCTCACTCCTGGCTGAATGTGTATTTCTATATACATAGTGTATATGTCTTTAGCGACCTCGTGGCCAAGATGGAGTCTGCTGTGCAGGCAGCTCTGGCCAAGAGATGGCGCGTGCAGGAATGCAGCAGGAAAAATTCCCTCCACCACAGGGGCACCTGTTCCAAACCCCCCCAGAGTGAACACGCACACCCACAGGAAAAGTACAATGGATATAACAAAGGGAGATATTTATTTACAGAGGGATGAGAGGAGAAAAACAACAAGGGGAAGTACAGGGGAGCAGCAGAACAGGGTTGCATCCAAACCAAGGCCCCACAGGCCCAGTGGTGGCACAGTCTGAAAGGGCAGACACCGAGCAATGTGTCTGCACACAGAGTTCAGGAGTCCTGAGCAAAGTTCCAGTTCAATGATGAGTCTTGGGTGCTCCTGGTCGTCTTCGGTGCCAGTGAACTTTCCCCAACAAATCCCTCCGGTACCCTCTTCTGCTGTTCTCTGCAAAGCCCCACAGAGCGACCATCTCCCCACTTAACTAGCTAGCAGCCTCCCTCCTTTCTCCCAATGCAGAGTCACAAGCCCCAGTACTCACAGACCCATGCAGCTCTGGGCAGCAATGATACTGGGTCCAGCTCCGGCCTGTCCTTCTCGGGCGATTCCTCCCTGGCACAGTGCTCCTCCTGGCTCCCATCCTGGGGTGTCCCCGTTCGGCCACCCTGTCCTTCCCAGGCTTCAGGCAGGTTCTCTCTCCTTCACTTTGTCCAGGGCGTCCCGGCTGAAGCCCTTCTCTTCCTGCGCTCCAGAGCCACACGCCCCAAGTTTCCCTCCTTTCTCTCACTGCTCCCCCTCCCCACTAGGAAAAAGATTTAAAGGGGCCATACTCTCTAAACCCCAAAGGGTTACATATGTGAGTATTCCAATAGCTCCAGAAGGCCACAGCCATCATCAGGCCCCATTTTGCTAGGTGCTGTACATACACATAGCAAGAGAGAGATCCTGCCCTGAAAAGCTTACATTCAGAACAGAGAAGCCAGATGAAGGGTAGAAAGAAGAGATTCAGCATACAAGCAGAAGACTGAGAACCAAGGCACAGAGAGATTGTGACTTTTCCAAAATCACACAGAGAGACTGTTGCAGTGATAGGATTTGATACAAGGTCTCCCGAATTCTAGTCCAGTGCTCTTAACAAGAAAATATTCTTCCTTTTTATGGGTTTTTAAAAAAGCATTTGCTTACGCCAAGCTGAGGACATTATTGCTTTCTGCAATTAACATCAATTGGAAATTGGAAGAGTACTGTATATGATTTAGCGGTCATGAAGGAAGAGATTAAAGAAAAACCTTACACAGATGCTCTAGCTGTGCACTCAAAAAATCAGACTTAGAAGATGGGGGAGAAAACCTTCAAACGTTGTTCATGTATTAAATATTGCATTGTGACCACGTATTGAATTCTAAAAAAGCTGGTAGGTAAGTAATATCACTAGCCATAAAATAAATATTCCATTTTAAAAACAATGTTGAGATGGCGCACCTTAGCTGTACAAAGTCTTCTGTCCTCAGTGTATGGGAAAGGATGTATAACCTTTTAGGGGGTATGAAATAGGATGTTCCCAGATTGTCTATCTTTTTACCTCCCATTTTTGTTTACATGCCAGGAAATTATATTAAAATCTGTGTTTAAGTATCATTAAGGCTCCATAGTTAAATCACTCAGAGGTCAGGAAATGCCAAAGTAAAGGTTTGAACATAAAGTTATTCTTCCCCCTTGTGTATATGCAATTATAATGCAATTTTTAGTTACATCACATACTATTTCCCAAATAATGCCCTATACTATAATATACAATTATTTTCTACAGCCATGGATACACATGTAACATTTACAGAACTTTGTCCTACACTGTGACCATCAGGCAAAAAGGGCCAAATCCTCAGCTGTGCTGGGGCCACTCCACCCACTTTGATTTCCCCAGGACAGGAGAGTCATTGGGTTGTTCAGAGACACCACAATGGCTCCTGCACCAATCTCCCTTCCTGGTCCCACCAGTGGAGTCATGGCTACAGTAATGGGATTTCATGGAGGCAATTCCTGGATTCCTCAATGTCCCATAGGAGCTATTGACAGCTAGCACAGTTTAGGGCAGTCTTCAGACTGTTCTAATTTATGCCAGGGAACTAGCTTGGCACTGAGCTGGCTGAGGTAAGTATGGCACATGATACCTTTCCATTCCTCCTCCTGAAAAGCATTGAGACCATAATGTATGAAAATCATTCCTATACCAGGTATGTAAAAGAGTTTGATCCTGAGGACAGTGGCAGTTGAGAACCCCCTGATCTTGTAGGTTTGATCTGTAACTAAATAAAGGTTCCTGTGGAGCCCTGCCTCATTCACTCTGCACCTGACAAGATTCACCATACAAGGTTGTGGGAAAAGTGGTACATCTGAGAAACCATGTGATTCAGATATGTGTGGAGGCAGAGTTAACCTTTGACTGTAAAGCCTCAAGTGTTTGTAAAGTTCAGGTAGGGAATCTCAAAGTAAGGCTAGCATTATTTTATTTGCATTCATATTCAACAAAAAATGCATGTCAAATTTGTAAAGACACTTAAATCTGAACAGAAATAGAATTGCTTGGTTACCAGCGTTACATTCATTGGTCTGGTTCAAATGGATGGGTCTGTAGTGATAACTGGGGCCTTGTGAGCCTAACTGAGGAAAAGTAGATAAAAGTTTATGAAGTATCACAATAAATTAACAATAAATGTTGATGGAAAAAGGTGCAAAAGGGAGTCAGATTAAATTAATCTAAACAAAAAGGTCTAATGATATAATTCAAGGACTGTGTTAAGATCACATCTGGTAATCAAGAAAAGTGTGGGACCAGAAATCAAGGAACCAAAATTGATGTGTTTGAAGTGAGGCCTAACAGAATAATGAGGGGGTGGGCTATTCTTCCCATTACTACTTTTTGGATTCCTCAAAAAGATTTTTTTGGGAAAGCTAGAAATAAGTGAAAGATGAAAAAACAAGCTTCTCCATCATTTCTGACCACCCACGGTCTCCTGGGACTCCAAGATCCACTGTGACACGATTGGGTCTTTTTCATCCTAATCTTGAGAGATATCCTGACCAAAGAGAGAGAGAGACCCAGATGACACTGCCACCAGTTCTGGCTAAATTCCAAACAGCCTTCTCCTTTTGCCTTCTGTTTAATAAGAGTTGTGCAATTAGAAAGTTGGCAACCCTAAAACTAAACACCCTAGCTCCACCCCTTCCCAGAGGCCATGCCCCGCCCCCTCGGTCACTATATTCCCCCTCCTCAGTGGCTCGCGCTCCCCCACCCTCATTCACTGTCACTGGCTGGGGTATGGGAGGGGGTGAGGGCTCTGTCTCGGGGTGCAGGCTCTGCGGTGGGGTTGGGAATGAGGGGTTCAGGGTGCAGGGGGGCTGTGGGTTGAGGCAGGGGTTTGGGATGCAGGAGGGGGCTCCAGGCTGGGGGGTGGAGAGAGGGGTTCAGGGTGTGAGGGGGGCTCTGGGCTGGGGCAGGGGGTTGGGTGCAGAGGGGGTGAGGGCTCCATCTTGGGGTGCAGGCTCTGGGCTGGGGCAAGGGATGAGGAGTTTGGGGTGCAGAAGGGGGCTCCAGGCTGGGGGTGGGGCAGAGGGGTTCAGGGTGTGGGAGGGGGCTCTGAACTGGGGCAAGGGGTTGGGGTGCAGGGAGGTGAGGGTTCCATCTGGGGATGCAGGCTCTGGGTGGGGCCTGGGGATGAGGGGTTTGGGATGCAGGAGGGGGCTTTGGGTTTGTGGGGGGCTCAGGGCTGGAGTAGGGTCTTGGAGTTGGGGTTGGGGCATGGGCTTACCTCAGGTGGCTCCCGGTCAGCAGCACAGTTTGGGGGTGGGGGAGGGCTGAGGCAGGCTTTGTGCCTGTCCTGACTCCACGCTGCGCCCCGGAAGTGGCCATCAGGTCCAGCTCCTAGGCAGAGGCATGGGAGGCGGCTCTGTGCACTGCTCTCACCCGCAGGCACCGCCCCAGTAGCTCCCATTGGCCACGGTTCCGGGCCAATGGGAGTGCGGAGCCAGTGCTCGGGATGGGGGCAGTGCACAGAGCTGCTGGCCGCTTCTGGGGTGCACCGCAGAGCTAGGACAGGTAGGGACTAGCCTGCCTTAGCTCCGCAGCACCGCCGATAGGACTTTTAACGGCCCAGTCAGCAGTGCTGACTGGAGCCACCAGAGTCCCTTTTTGACTGGGTGTTCTGGTTGAAAATCAGACACCTGGTCACCCTAATAAGAGTCTGGTTTAGCCAGCCAAAACTGCAACAAACCCAAAGAGACAGTTAAAAGCAATGTCCTAAACAGCCCAGCACTGGTACAAGTTTGCCAGATCTTGAAGTGGCTGATAGTGTGCCTTGCCTGTATTTTTTCAGCAGTGAGATTGCAAGGAAAAGTGAGCACCAAAGACAGAAGCTGCATTTTCTGTCTTTGCTGTTTTCTTCTTTCCCTGTTCATATGCGGTTGTCTTGTTTTGTTTTCTAGGAAATGGGATTGGACATTAACATTACCTGTTTTTAAAAATCTGTTTGCTATGGTACTAAGTAAGCTGAGGTGACTGAATTCCAAGCCGGAACTTTATTTAAAATTGTTTAATATTGGACAATAACAGGGTCATGTTAACACCACTAAGTCTTTGGGCCCATATATTCCACCAAAATTAATGCAAGTCTACACCTTTGAGATTGCCTTTTAAAGTTATTGTGTGTGTTCTAATTGCCCCCAAAATTTACCGGTTGTCATATTGCTGCTTTAATAAGTTATAGTTCAATAATGTTTATTTTAATGCTCTTTGCCTCAAGGGATAAAATCCTGAGATGTTTTGAAAGAACAACATCATCAACGTCCATCACAATAGAACGAAAATTCCTTTACATGAATCGTGCTGTAATTATTTGGGTATCAGCAAATTACTCCCATGAGAGCTATGTGAAAACAAAGAACATCTCCATTATACCCAGCAAGGCAGGTACAGTGCCTCTAATATGGTTCATTATTTGTATTACCATAGCATCTAAGATGCAATAGTTTGTCTAAAACTACAGTATAATTTTATTAAAGTATGGATTTTTTTGCTAAATTGTAACTCTCAGTATACACTTCTTACCACCAAATCAAATAGTTAAACCATAATTTGGACCTCTGGGGTGAAATCCCCACTCTAGTGACATACATGTGGGAAGGATTTCACACCAGGAATGTTTGCTAGACTATAAAGGAGCAATATCCAGAAACATACATCAATACACACACACACACACACCCTTAGGCTCTTATTTTGTTTGCTGGCTTTCTGAAGACAGGGCTGGTTCAGCATCCTGTGTTTAAGGAAATCTATATAGTTAGAATCTCTGTGTGTTGAGAGACCTTTTCCAGGTTTCGGTCTGTTTCTTGGCCAACTAAGAGTATGTCTACACTTTAAGAAAACGGGGGGGCGGGGACAAGCCATGGCAGGGAGTCTGAGGTCAGATCTACAGACTCTGCTCACACTACAGTGCTTAAAAATGGCAGTGTAGACATTCTCGCTCAGGCTTAGAGACCCATCCTCCTTGCTGGGTTTCAGACGCCCAGAGGGAACATCTATACTGCTATTTGTAATGTTGTACTGCCTGCACAAGTCTGTAGACCCAGGTTCTGAGTGTCACTACAGTGGCTTATTTGGGGGGGGGGGGGGGAGTGTAAACCTACCCATTGGGTAAGACCAAATCTGATTCAGGTTTGAGCTCAAGTCCCCCATCCATCCACACACAAATCAGTCTGACTTGGATCAGCAAACTTTCAGGACCTGGGTCCTACAACCCTGCTATAGGGCTCGGTCAGAGCCAGAGAATCACTGTGACTGTAGTCCAAGCCCTGCCATTTTGCAATATTGACTCAGCTCAAACGGTAGACCCAAGTCAGACAGTCTATGTAGTGCAATATGGACACATTAACACAGCTGAGACCTGGGCCCAGCAGTTGTAAGTCCAGGTTTACAATGCAGTGTCCATGCTCAGGTGTAGGCTTGGACACCAAGCCTGGATCCCACAGACCTGGGTTAACAATGCAGCGTAGACATACTTAAGTTAGTTACACAATAATTTTATATAAAAGGAACTACCTGATTACAAATGAGATGTCAAGTCCTGTTCTTCTGATTAGGTGTTTATAGTGCAATTCACCATGGTATCCAAAATATTGATCTAATCCTCAAGCGCTGCCCAAAGACTGAGTGAGACTTTGGTCATGGGCTCTTCTAGGAGACATGGGATTGGAGGTGGAGGGAGAACAGAGTCCTCACTACTACAGCACCCTACCAGAACCAATGCACAGCCGCTACTCTAGCCTCTGGTGGGGGTCTTTGGCCACTTTACATGTGTTACGTTATGTCTACACTTTGAGCTGGAGATGTGATTCTCAGCTTGAGGAGACATACCTATGCTAGCTCTCAGTGAGCTAGCACGCTAAAAATAGACAGTAGCCCTGACAGTGAGAGTGGTGGGAGGTGCCGAGTTCATGCCTGTCAGAGATGCTAGATATGTAGTCTGAGCAGCTAACCCTTATCGCCACTTGCGCTACTGAAACTACATTCTATTTTTAGTGTGCGAGCTAGCTCAGGTACTTCTGCTGGAGCTGGAATCACACCCCCAGCTCAAAGTGTAGCCATAACCTTAGAGAAAAAACAACAAGTAGTCCTTGTGGCTCCCTAGAGACTAACAAATTTATTTGGGCATAAGCTTTCGTGGGCTAGAACCCACTTCATCAGATGCATAGAGTAGAAAATACAGTAGCAGATATATACACACACAGAGTACATGAAAAGATGGGAGTTGCCTTATCAAGTGGGAGGGTCAGTCTAACGAGACAATTCAATTAACAGAAGAATACCAAGGGAGGAAAAATCACTTCTGTAGTGGTAATGAGGGTGGCCCATTTCAAACAGTTGACAAGAAGGTGTGAGTAACAGTAGGGGAAATTAGTATGGTAAAATCAGTTTTTGTAATGGCCCATTCACTCCCAGTCTTTATTCAGGCCTAACTTGATGGTGTCCAGTTTGCAAATTAATTCCAATTCTGCAGTTTCACTTTGGAGTCTGTTTTCGAAGTTTTTTTGTTGAAGAATTGCCACTTTTAAGCCTATTATTGGTAACCAGGGAGGTTGAATTGTTCTCCTACTGGTTTTTTAATGTTTTAATTCCTGGTGTCAGATTCATGTCCATTTATTCTTTTAAGTAGAGACTGTCCGGTTTGGCCAATGTACATGGCAGAGGCCATTGCTGGCACATGATGGCATATGAAAAAGAAACTGTACTTGAAATTACACCTCTGACATACCCATAAAATACAGAAGCAATCAGAGTTCAGGATAGTCTTTTTAAACAGCATTATTGCTGGTACTGTCAACATTCTAATTTGAGGATTGTGCCACTCATGCTGACTTTGAATGGTATCTGATAACACAAATTCTCATTGAAATCAACTGGACTACCTGCAGAGAAAGATCTGACTCTCACTGAGTAAATGTGGCAGACCTGGGCCTTTGTCTCATACTGCAAAATTTCACTAATGAATTCTTTCTCCATTTTGAAGATTGAAAATTGACATATTTAGTACTGAACAAACAGAAGGGAGAAAAAAATGTATTTATCATTGGTTTCCTCCTGTGTGTGTGTGTATGTGTTTACGGCTTCTGCATTGTTCATTTTAGAGAAGTGTGCTATACACTCCATACGTGCTCACCAGTTATCAAACAGATTAATAATTAAGTGGGATACACCAAAAAAGTCTATGCAATATGAACTGCAATATAAAGAAGCACGTCCAACAGCCTCACAATGGATATTGGTGAGTAAATGAAGATTGATATCAATTTAAAAGCTTCAGCTGAAATATTACTGGTTCTACGATACACAGCACTGTTCGTTAACACAGCACTCCTGTTAACCACCATTTAAGTTCTGTTAAGATGTTCCAGGCAGTGGGACAGATCCTGAGCTAGTGTCAATCAGAATAGATCTATTGACATAAATGAAGCCATGGTGAATTACATCAAGTGAGCCTCTGACCATACATTGGTTTCAGAATAGCAGCCGTGTTAGTCTGTATCCGCAAAAAGAACAGGAGTACTTGTGGCACCTTAGAGACTAACAAATGTATTAGAGCATAAGCTTTCATGGGCTACAGAATGGCTAATTTCAGCTTGACAAAAAAGTGCCAAATGTTGCACCCTCTGCTCATGCTTAACCCCCACCTCTTACACACACATTACATTTTTAAGCTGGTGCTCAACGAATCAGATACACAAGGCATTTTCAGTGCTAATGCAAAAGCTAGCTTAGCATTTTGAGCATTCACAACTCTTATTAAAAATCAATCTCAGTTGCACAAGTGGCTTGAGGGTTTTGAATGTATTATCTCACCTCTTCCATGTGCCTCAGCTTCAACTCCAAAGAAAGTGGAAAGCCTCTAAATCTTTCCATGATTCTGTATTTTCCCCCAGATCAACTTTATTAATAGAAATATGTTACAGGACAAAATATTGTCTCCTAAAAATGCTTCTGCTCACTGTCTTAGCACTAGAGCAAGAGCTAGCCACCTAATTGCTTTTATTCATAATTATCACAAATATTTTCATGGCAATAAAAACTTATATGGAGAGTAGTAAGGAGACTTTAGGCCCAAATTTTCAAAAGTGCATCTCTGCCAACTATGTACATTGCCTGTGTGATCACTGTAATTGTGCAAGCTACTATTAACTCCATACACAAATTAGCATTGAGGCACTAAGTATGTGCATACAGTTTTGAAAATTTTTGAGCCCAATGTGCATTTCTAATATTTCATTTTACCTCAATTTCTTGCTCTTTTGAGCTCCTAAATGAAGCCCCAACTCAGTAAAGCTCCTAAGCTTGTGTTTAAATCCATCCCTGGTCACAAAAGTACTTAAGCTTATGCTTCACTTTCAGTACATGCTTCAGTCCTACTGAAGTCAATGGGACATAAGCACAAGCTTAACTTTAAACATGCGCTTAAGTGCCCTTCTTGACTCAGGATACTTTTCTGTAATGGGACTGAGTGTCTAATGGCTTTGTTAGGGCCCAATCCCTCAAAGTGCTTAGGTATGTAAGTCCCAGACTTATGCTCCACTGCAATCCACAAAACTCCCACCAAACCCCCTAGGTGTCTACACTCACTCAAGTACCCTAGGTGCTCTCTGACTCTGAGCATACACAATGCTACCTCACTCACAGTGTCTGAATGCCCATCTCCTGCCTATGCCCCAGACCGATCTGCAAACCGGGGGAAGATAGGTGCTCCTCCTACGTCATGCACAGGGCCCAATCCAATAGGCATGCTCAGAGGCTGCCTACTGGATCAGGTCCTATTCAATATCTGGCATCCTGTTGGAGCTGGGAAACTGGACCCTGGGACTTCCCAGGTCGATGACCTCACCACTGAACTATACAGTCATTCAGTCTCTCTCTCTCTCTCTCTCTGGCCCAGTGATTGTTCCACTGTGAATAAATACTTAAGTAGTCATTGGGCCAGAAAGAGAGAGAATGAATGTTTCTGTAATTTAGAGTCCAGTCCTCCTGTTCCAGTCACTAGTTAGTTATACACAGTAGAACACTTTCACCAGAAGAAAGTAGGAAGCACTGTGTCAGAATATCCCATAGCTCAGTGGGTAGAGCACTTTTCTGAGAGATGGGAGAACCCTGTTCAAATTCTCTCCCCCACTCAGGCAGAGGGGAAAATGGAACTCACATCCCAGGTGAGTGATCTAACCATTGGACACTACCGCCTCCAGCCATTTTGTGAGGAACAAGTCAGGCTCCTAAATCTGTCCCAAAACAAATGACTTAGACACCTAAGCCACCTGACTCCAGAAGAGGAGTTCCTGTTTATGGATTACTGGCAGAGATAGGGGTCTCCCTGCAGCCTCAGAGAGAGAGATGGTGCTTAGGACACTGCCCTCTTGATGGCATCTCCTATTGGATAGCGTAGGCGGTTCCCTGCCTTGTGTGCTGGCTTTTGGCTTGCATTCTAAGGCACCTCTCTTCCCCATTTGTTATACAGGGAGCCCAGGTGCCTAACTCAGGCTTTTGTGGATCACAGTGTTGTTCCTGTGATTTTTTAAGTGCCTAAAAGTTAGGTGCAATGATGTTTAGCATTGCAATACCTACTTCCCTTTGTGGCTCTGGGCCTTAGTGTGTCATGTGTATTGGTGAATACCCTTAACTTCCATTGAAATTGAAGAACAGGGCCCTTAGAAAGGAGAGCAATGATTACAGAGTATAACATTATTAAAAGGGAACTTTAGTTTAATGATGCCAAATATTGTTTAAAATTTGTTTGTTGGCAGGTGCCCACAGCAAACGATGCTGTCAATGTGACTGTCTCCAATTTAAACAGCACATCTTCATATGTTATTCAGCTCAGATGCATACCCAGCGAGGATCACCACTGTGTTTGTGTTTGGAGTAAAGAGATTTTAGTACCTCATAGTAAGTGGCATTTCATTTGGTTGTTCTGGTTTTTCTGGTTGTTCTGGTGATTGATATAAATAAATCAGTTGTTGCATAAAGTTATATAGTATTTATAGATTGGAAAATATTAAAATCAAATGATGAGATTGGGTTTCCCCATCCTTCTCTTCTCTAGAGCTGATTGACAAGCCAACAATTTCAGCTAATGAAACCATAGAAATCAATCCGGGAAGAATAAGTATTTTTCTTCAGTGGCAGGTAATGTATTTGTTGTTGTTATTATTATGGATATAGCAAAAAAGTTAATCATTTTGGGCAAAACAGGATTTTGTTCATTATATTGAAATGTCAGCAAATATTCTTATGCAAGCAAAACTATATTTGAGTATTGCAATGTTGTGCACCTTTGCAACAGCAATTCCTAGCACTATATATATAAATGTGTACGGACATGGTCTTAGAGAAGAGAGAGCAAAACCCCTTTGTAAACTTACAAAATGATTGATGCAGCAACATCTGAACTCTGAACCTTGGCCTAAATGAAGCATCTTTCCATTCTACACTAAGTATTTTTAGGAGCTGGATTCTCAAGTCTCTCTCTCACCATCACCCTAACACTTCATCTTGAAAGATTCCCTTAGGCAGAGACACCTGAGGCTGTAGAGCTAAAATACTCTCTTTGTCTTACATATTCATAAGCTGTCATCTTATTCTCGAATGGGACTAAAGCTTTTGAAAGAGCCCCACTCTAGGAATCTGAAAGCACCTTCCAAGTTTATTTATTCAAAAATCTAGATACAGCATAGGTTATGAGGCTCTTGCTGACAAAAAGAGTGCTCTATTCACCATGCAGAGTGCTGCATATTCACCACAAAGACATTAAAAGTTCAGAAGCTGAGATCTGGAAGTGTGCCTTCTTCCACAATGGACATCATGATCATCAATTGACTGACTACTGTACATCAGCCATTTTTGCTGAATTAATGATGTGAAGGTTTCCTGACAAAGTGAGCACATAAAAAATGTGAGGGCAGTAAATCCAACAACCTTGAGTTCACTGCCTGCGGGCTAGCAGGACATTTTGATGAGCAAGGAGCTATTATAGACTTCAAGGCTTGTGGTCTTCATGTAAAGACTATCTATCTAAAACCAGAGGGGAAAAGAGGGCTTCTAATTCTAGATCAAAGGGGGTTGCCATGAGTGAAGCCAAGAGTCCAAGTCAGAATCAACAAAGACACCCATATCTGTATGTGAAGGAATCTATCAAAAGGGACATTTTGCAACAATCTGCTTTAAAAAAAAAAAAAAAAAAGAAACTTCTTAGGAAGTTACCCCTCTTACCAGCAGGTGATGAATCTAAACTAGAAATAAAATTGTTCCTTTTACAGTAATGTCTTAAATTGTACATACCAATTCCAATATCAAGTTGAAGGAAGAAATCATCTTTAGACTGAGAGCTTGAGTTAGATCTTATGTAATTGTTTCATCTGATCCCATCTTCTATAAAATTGAAGGCCTTTTGTGCACTTTAGTCCAATTCAAATCAAGAGGGATGCACTTAAGTGCATGCTTAAGTGCTTTCCTGACTTGGAGCCTAAATCACTTTAAAGATACACAATAGTATAAGAGTAGCTGGGATGCACGTCCGAGTCTTTAATACTTATAAAATGTTAAAGAAAAAAAAATGTAGACTCTCCTGCCACAGCTGTTTACACAGTATTGGAGCAGAGACCAGTTTGTGACACAAGACTGTAGTATCTAGTACTAGTGTCTGGATGCTTAAGATACATTTGCTTTGCTCAGTGCTCACCTTAGAATCCTAGAATATCGGGGTTGGAAGGAACCGCAGGAGGTCATCTAGTCCAACCCCCTGCTCAAAGCAGGGCCAATCCCCAACTAAATCACCCCTGCCAGGGCTTTGTCAAGCCTGATCTTAAAAACCTCTACAGAAGGAGATTCCACCACCTCCTTAGGTAACCCATTCCAGTGCTTCACCACCCTCCTAGTGAAAAAGTTTGTCCTAATATCCAACCTAAACCTCCCCTACTGCAACTTGAGACCATTACTCCTCGTTCTGTCATCTGCTACCACTGAGAACAGTCTAGATCCATCCTCTTTGAAATCCCCTTTGAGGTAGTTGAAAGCAGCTATCAAATCCCGCCTCATTCTTCTCTTCTGCAGACTAAACAATCCCAGTTCCCACAGCTTCTCCTTATAAGTCATGTGCTCCAGCCCCCTAATCATTTTTGTTACCCTCCGCTGGATGCTTTCCAGTTTTTCCACATCCTTCTTGTAGTGTGGGGCCCAAAACTGGACACAGTACTCCAGATGAGGCCTTACCAATTTCAAATAGAGGGGAATGATCACGTCCCTCGATCTGCTGGCAATGCCCCTACTTATACAGTCCAAAATGCTGTTAGCCTTCTTGGCAACAAGGGCATACTGTTGACTCATATCCAGCTTCTTGTCCACTGTCCACTTGTCCCTAGGTCCTTTTCTGCAGAACTGCTGCCTAGCCATTAGTCCCTAGTCTGTAGCAGTGCATGGGATTCTTCCGTCCTAAGTGCAGGACTCTGCACTTGTCCTTGTTGAACCTCATCAGATTTCTTTTGGCCCAATCCTTTAATTTGTCTAGGTCGCTCTGTCCTATCCTATCCCTACCACTCCTCCCAGTTTAGTGTCATGTGCAAACTTGCTGAGGGTGCAGTCCACGCCATCCTCCAGATCATTAATTGTTCTTTTGAGCATTGCTCTGCTCTGTTACCATACTAAACAAACTTAATATCAGTAGGTAAGGACACCATTCTGCTGTAGCAGTTTAATTACCAGTCCCCTCTTCCTCACAAGATAGTTCAAAATGCCCTGTAGAATCTAGGGGATTAAGATTTTCAAAGGCATACATGGCAGTTAAGCACCTAACTCTCACTGACTTTCAGGCTCCTAATAAATAGGGGCACATTCTGAGTGCAGCGTACAAAGTATTTAAGCTGCTTCATCCTCATTAGTGTTTACTGGATTTGCACAGGTAAGAACTCAATTCATCATCATCATCACTACTCCCATAACCGTATTGGTCATTGGGACACCACCACTGATGAGGAACCAACCAATTGCCTCCACCCCTGATGATTGTGTGTCAGTGCTTGAGTCTCTGCAAAGTCCATTCCTGTTCACTGTTTTACATTGTCAATCCATCTCTTCTTCTTCTCTTCCCCTCTACTGTCCCTTGGAGGATGATCTTGGATAGGCCAGATGATCTTGTTACATGGCTGTACCACTTCAGCTTGAGCTTCTTCATGGTCATCAGAAGGTCTTCATATGACCCAGCACATTGGGTGATGATATTGCAGACCTCTTCATTAGTGCCGTGTTCAAAGTACAAGATGCCCAGGATTTTATGGAAGTATCTCATCTCTACTACCTGTATTTTCCATTCAGGTTCTGCCGTAAGGGTCCATGTCTCACACATATACAGAAAAATGGAGATGACCAGTGCGTGCAGCACTTTCAGTTTGGATTCCAAAGAGATGTTCTTATTTCTCCAAATTGGCTTTAGCTTTCCCACTGCTGCTGCTGTCTGTGCAGTTCTTGCCAGAATTTCTGCCTTTGATCCTTCATCAGTGATCCCCCAAATACTTGAACTGTTTCACTGGCTCCAGTTCTTGTCCACTGACAGTGATATGTGAGCTGATCCCATCACATTTGTTTGTCATCAGCTTGGTTTTCTCTGCACTGGTTTCCATGCCATATTTTGTGGAACCCAGTTAAGCAAAGCATTTAAGCACAGGATTATGTGCTATATATTTAAATAATTTTAAGCAAATGCTTAAGTCCCAAGAACATGCTTAAGTGCTTTGTTAAATCATTTCTTAAATCTCCAATCACAGCACTAAATTTATCTCCTTTTAACAATCAATGTGAAAACACCAGGAAGATTTGTTTATACATAATTTCGTGTGTGTGTTTTGGCTTACAATTTTTTGTAACTGTTCTAATTTTATTAAGAAAGGGATTGATATTTGATTGTTCAGTAATAATCTTTTTTCTATTAGATAACACAAAGCAGGAATGTCATTGGATACTATATTAATATTGAAAGAATACCCAACAGTTGCAATGATCGATTCGAACGCATCAACGTAACGGAGAGAAGAGTGCATCTGAATCTCTCCATGGCTTATTATCGGTTTAATATTTCTGCCTATAATGAAGCAGGAGAATCTCCACAGATCACTTATGTTGTCCCAGATTTCACCGCAACAGGTACTTTATCCAGTTGGTGAAGAAACTACACACATATTCTTTTGTTGGCAATGTTGCCTTGTGATAGCAACAGTTTGGGGATGAAAAGGATCTTATTGTTCCTCTTTATTCTTTTCTTTAAACCCGCACCAGATTAAGGACTCATGTGAAAACTGGACAAAAAGAACAGTTTTATGGAGCTCTGTCAGAACACAACATGTTATCTCATGTGGTCACTATATGTCACTATCTATTGTGAAGATTAAAGTTATTCATATCAAATTAATGGCTGTAGGAGGTATTCAAACTGAATTCTGTGTGAGCTGACCCAAACCAAGAAATCTGAAAAATAAACTGGAAACCTGAGAGAACAGCTACATTTATATCAGCTAGGCCATTGGATTAACTAATTACTAGCAGACTAATTTTACTGTGCATTACAAACACGCTTTGTAGTATGAGGTGGTTATAGCTGCATATGACCTGCCAGGTGAATATTTACAATTAAAGGTCACAATGATCTACTGCTATTCCATTCTCTCTTTATCTTATGTTGTCTTCTGGCAAGTTGCATGAGGGCACAAATTTCCAACATGAAACTAATACGATGGTAAGAACAAAATTAAGAGAGGATGGCGAGGTCCTTCCAAAAATTAGAAGGCTTCTAAGAAATCCAGGAAATATAATTGCCATAGTACAATTTCCATGCTTTGCTAGACACTTGCTTGTATATCTGCATTCATAGTTAAAAATCAGTGTTCCCATGGGCTGGCACCAGTTGCTCATTTCTCCCATGGGACATGTATTGTTGTAAGGTAGGATTTCCTATGGCCTGATACTGTGAGTAACAATCCGCATCTGGGTACCGCTGACACTCTCCAGCTGATGTGTCTGCAGTTAATGTTTCATACCGTCTCCTATCCACCCACTGCCACTGAGGAATATAGTATCCACCCCTTCAATCTTTTTTGACTAATCCTACTGATAGTCAATGATTTACCGAGTCTGCTCACTTAAGCATCACGATTTTCCTTACACATTTATTTTCAACTCTAGCTGTAGTTTTATCCTTTGTTTTCCCTAATGTGCCTATGGTCTTGAACATCAATAAAAGCATTACTATGATGATATAGGCATTCAGTTTGTTTCTCATGACGTTTTCAGAGATCAAGTTTTCCTCAGCTAGTTTTGTCACTCTTTAATTCTTCCTTATAGCCACTCTCTACTGTTTTTCAAATAGAGAGCTCCATTTCATCTTCTGTCAGCCACTGACTTATAAGTTGCCCGTCTTCCTTCTTAGTCTTGCCAATTTTGATTATTAATAGATGACACGATCTAGTGTTGGTTGGGAATTTTTAGATGAAATGGTTTTTTTCAGTCAGAAAACACTGATTTGTCAAAACCAAGACTTTTAGCAGAAATGTATCAATTCAAATGAAGCTTTTGTTTGGAAAGTTTCTCAGGCCCTGGATGGAATTTCTAGGAAAAACCAGGGAAGGAGAGACAGATACTCAGGTTCAAATCCCCGCTCTGCCTAATTTGGAGCAGGGCCTTGAACATGGGGATCCCACATCCCAGGTGAGAGTGTCCTAACCACCAGAACTTTGGGTATTCTGGGGTGGAGGAGCCCAACTCTTTCCTGTTGGAGCGATTCCAATTTGTATAGATAATTAAATATTAATTGGATGAGAGAGAGAGACTGACTCTAGCCTGGTGTTTAGAACACTCACTTGGAACCACCAGTCCCTGCTCCCTCTAACTTGGAACCACCAGTCCCTGCTCCCTCTAACTTGGTGCCCTAATTACCAAGCTAGAGTCGTCTCTGTCTGGTTTTTCACAGAGTTTCAAAACTTCTCTGGTTCTCCCAGACACAAAACTAAATGCTAAAACCCCAGCTTTTCTTGTGAAATGGAATTCTCATTTTCTACCCAGCCCTACTATTGTCAGACTTTACATAAGGAAGAATACCACAAAAACATCTTATTTCCCTGAATCTGAAGCCCAGCATGACTGTCTCCCCCAGTCAGAAACGTTTCACATAGCAGCACTACATATGACTTTCCTGGGGGGAGGACTCCAGTTGAGTAAGGTGAGGTGCTCCCCCTTCCCAAGGTTTGAATGTTCTCTTCCCCCTTTGTAGTAAAGGCCATGTCCAGAAATCAAATGTGGATCTTCACTAAGGCAGTGCAAAGCACTAGACTAGCTTGAAACTTTTTTATAAACTACATTGTTACTAGTGATCAGAGTTCATTAAGCCTTACTACCCACATAGTCGCTATGACTTGTCACAGGATGCTGACTTCACAGTGAAATTTTTTAAAAATATTTGCTTTCCTATGCATTGATCTATAAAGTATTTTGTTTTGCCCCAGTTTTGCCTGGACAAATCACTGCCATACCACAGGAAAACAACACTGTTGTCACCTGGACTCCAGAATATATTCCAAAGTGTTTTGTGGTTGATTGGGGCACTGGTAAAGAAGATATGCACATGAAAATAATAACGAAGCCCATGGGAAATTTCACACTAGGTAACAATTCAACTTTTTTTCATGGATTGTCCAATTATTTTATGGGAAACATGCCTCTTTCTTTCGCTTGCAGTTTTAAAAACCATGAGACAGCCAAAGATCCTTCCTCACACCTCTACTCTTCTTTGTTCTGTGTATATGGGGGAGGGGGAGGGGAATTGAAGTACATGGGAGTTTTAGTCCTCTCTGGGAAGCCTACTGGTCGTGGTCAGTGAAGAAATGCAGCTATAAAAACAGACTGTTTGTGCTATCCCCCTCCCCCAAATCCAGGATAGAGGCTTATATGCTGCAGCATAACAAGGGTGACAACATTTTGCCCTCCCAGGTAAACTTCACTTACATGACAGACAGCTGTGTCACAGGCTGCCCAGTAGATGACATTTCATCCCTTTCCCCTGAACTTGTCCTTGTAAAGTCGCAACAACAAAACAAATCTTGTTATGCAGCATATCTGAGTTATGTGCAAAGAGCTTCTGTTCAGGAAGATTTTACAGGACTTGCATTCTGCATATTGATTGAGATCATACAAGTGACTGGCAAAGAGCAATCAGGATTAATGTCAATGTACATTGGAGACATTTGATCTGAGGATCACAATTGAAATGTTATCAATAATTCATCCACTATTTTAATGGATCCTCTTTTTACGTGTGCAACCCCTGGTTGCATCCAGTTTAAGTTCCCAGACAGGGGAAAAAAAAAAATCCATGCTTGAGCCAAGAGACCTTGAGCTTTCCTGCTTTCCACCCTGTAGCTCCATCTGTGCAACAAAGGCAGACTAGAAACCAATTTGGCATATTTTACAAAAAACATTGTATATTAATATTTGTCATTTTAATTATAAAAAAAATCCAATGTACGGGTTGTATGAGGATGGTCTAGGAAGCTACCTGGAAAACGTGTACATTTGGACTCTTAACATGAAGACCTGGAATTTGTTAGACTATATTTGGGGAGTTATACAAAAAATCTGAAAGTTCCCTCCTCTTACTTATCTGTTCAGCAAATACTGATTCCAACGTGATTGTTTTCCAGACCATTTACAACCATATAAATTGTACAAAATAATGGTGCATGCATCTGACATATGTGAATGTGAAAGTTTCATGAGACATGAGAGGACATTTGGAGTGACCCACTTCTACTCAGTTCAAGGAGGTATTTCCTAGAAAATCTTCATTCCCCCCCTTGCCCCGTTTGTTCCCTTCCACTTTTTCTCCTATTTCTCCACCATCAGTAATAAGGGAGCTCCACCACAACGTCTTTGATGGGATGACCTAACATAACACTTATATCCACTCAGTCATGCCCCTAACTCTAAGCTGTGATGTGCTGGCTTTGTGTATGAGTGAATATGAAGTTGCTTGCTAGTGACAGGTCCAGAGATATGATGAAGTAACTATTACTATTCATAGCAGAGATGTTAAGGCAATGGAGCAGGGGTTTTGTCCCTTCTTGCAGCGTGTGATTGTGGCCAGATTCTGCTACCCTTACCCACATTGACTAGCACCTTCCTAGGTGAGTAGCCATTCATGCCAATGTGACTATGGTGAGTAAGGGTATCCTTAGAAATTGTATCTGTAGCAGATGGATGATATGTCTCTACCTTCTTTGGTATTGTTTAAGCAGGACTTTTTCCCTTCTCTGCCATTAGTTATCTGTGTGTCAGTCTGCAAACTGGGGAGATGCTTCCCATTCAGCGGTCAATTTCTATGTATGGATTAGCATGCTGCACATTGGATTATAGGCAATAGTTATCTGTATGATTTGAGTTATTTATTTTTAAATGACCTGATGCTTAAGTTCCTAGGACAGGTCCAGCTACTGTGAAAATTTCAAATATCATGAAGCATTCTGCTATTGTGAAATGGACTGAAGTACCTGCAGAAGACTGTTTGGGCTTCCTCCAGGGATACAGAATCAACTACACAGACACAATGAAGAATCTCTCTCTGGGTAGGTCACTATGTCACATTATCATAAAAGACAAGAGCAACATTTCACACATAGAGCAGTAGCAATCAGACATAATCATTGCCTACAAATTACAAGTGTTGAGCTACTTAATGCCTTTACATATAACTTTATCCACCTTTGATTTCAGTGGCAGTTGAATCTGTCACTAGATCAACTGCCAGTGAACATTTTAATATTCTAACTAGTTTAGACTATCCAGAGACTTCTAATGATTACAGGGTATGCTCTCAGTTTATTATGAAATGTATCTTTAAAGATTTAGCATCAGCATCACCACAGGAGGCCAAAATTCAGATCAATTTAGGCCATGAAAGAAACACTCAACATATTTTCAATTCAGAAAAGTGTTCAAAGGTTCACAGAATTACCCTCCAGTTCAATACAATTTGTTTTAATTTACAAGTGACTAAGTTGCTGTTAAAGCTTCAGCCATTTTCATGACAGTAAAACCCACCAGGCTAAGATGCTTAAAACTCCTGCTGCTAAAAATATAGTAGCCATTTCTATTAAACACTGAAAGGAAGGATATGCTATCAGCATGTTTACCACTTAGCTTAAGGTATTGTGACAATTCACACTATTTCTGTGTTGCATTATGACTCAGCTCAGCTAGTTCCTGAAGATCTCTACTGTGGGTCAAAGATAAGCAGCAAATAAGAATCATGCATTATCGGACTGAAAATGAAATATAGTCTCAACAGTTTCCTGCTCATATTGAAAGACAGATTAAATAAGGTTTCAGAGGAACAGCCGTGTTAGTCTGTATTCGCAAAAAGAAAAGGAGTACTTGTGGCACCTTAGAGACTAACCAATTTATTTGAGCATGAGCTTTCGTGAGCTGAGCTGTAGCTCACGAAAGCTCATGCTCAAATAAATTGGTTAGATTAAATAAGTGATCAGTTAATACCAACTCCAAAGAATATAGTTTTAAGTTGGTTCCTAAAGGCAAGATATTAATTACAAAGAAAGATTTATTGATTAGTTAGAAGGTAATGAATGGTGGGCTGATTCCATTTTACCTGAGCTCATATCAGAGAAATTTACAACAGATTCTCTTTTGATTGATATCCTCGCTCTTGTCTGCAGGGGAAAGATTCCAAGCTGCAAGTTACAACACATTGAGGTTTAGATCTTTAACTTTCATAGCTAGTGCAGTCTGCATATCAAGAGAGATGACAAATATTTCCTGAAAACAGTAGAAGAGCAAAATGGAAGAGCAACTGGTTTCTAGAACTCAAAAATCAGCGGATGGACATAATGGATGATCAAAAAATAATCAAAACTTGGTGGATGAAATCCTGGCTTCATTGAAGTCAATGGCAAGAGTCCCATTGACTCAAAGGCAGATTTCACCCCAGGTTCCTGCTTAGAAATTTGAGTATTTTGAAAAAACAAATCCCAGGGTTGCTTGAACTTTGTCGGCAGAAAGAGTTGAAAAACTGCTGAAGTGTAGTGACAATTCAAGTCACTGCAATGTCAATTAGCCTGACAGATGATTACTGGGTTTTCCAGAAAGGAAGGATGATAAGCTTCATTTCACAGACTCTTTGCCTCACTCAGCTCTACGATCACACCTTTTGCTTTCAGGAAATAGGCTATTTTCTTTAACATTAAAACTTCCATATCAAGAGTATCTAAATGCTTGGCAGCATTCTATAACATAAAGGGCACTGTTGTATTGCTAGTGAAGTTATTCTGGTGACAGCAAAATCATCCACTGCACCTTCAGAAAGGAAATAGTTTTGAACTAAACCCAAGCAGTACAGCTGTGGATCTGAACATACAGTATTTTCTCACACAAATACCTACCTGAATAGTACATCACTGAAGTCAAGTAAAGTGAGTGTTGCCTGATGAATGAGGATTGCTCAAGTTAGTAAAAGGCCCCCTGGTATGTTCCTTCTATCACCTGCTTTGACAGTTACCAGGCATCTACAAGCTCCTTTGAGTCATGCATTCTACATTAGGGGTCAAATTCAGGGCGTAGACACTTAATGTAGATGTACAAGCACGCTGATTAGGCAGTAACATTCAGATAAGTCCTTATTCCGACTGTCACAACAGTGGATACCCAGGAAACTCACTTTCAGTAAGTTTCACACCCCTCTCCCCCTCCCGGTCTACAGTATATACGAGCCTACCATGGCTACCCTTTAAGGATAGCTCAAGTGGTAGAGGCTCATGCTTTTAGCACTGGAGTTCTTGGGTTAAATACCCAGGCAATTACCTATACTGGAAGTTTATGGCACACCATCTTCAAATAGCCATACACTGAGATTGCTTGTTCCAGGATCCGGATTAATTTCAAGAAGAGAGGCTACATAGTGAGTCCCAATCCCAGCATCCGCCATAGAATGCTTCCTCCTTTGGCACCAACCGTAGAAGGTCTGCAGAGTATGGTTTCCTACAGGTTTGGGATGAGGGCATGAAGTTGGGCCTCTTCTCAGCTACAGCTTTATGGGCTTGTTCCTATGTACAGCTTGAATTTGGCTCTAGTGTTGTACATTTGCTGATCCCTCACCCTCTTGTGTTGCAGCTGTTGCTGTCAATTCTTCTACCACCTGCTACCTGTTAACAGGACTTAAAGAAAAAACTGCCTATAGAGTACAGATTTCAGGAGTCACCACTGCAGGAGAAGGAGCCCAAAGTCGTTCACAGTTTTTCACTACTCTGAAATATGGTACCGTGAAGTTCTTTTTGTGACTGTGCTGTGCTGCATTGATTCACACCATAAAAATGGGTTGTGCTATTTTATTCCAAAACCTCAGCCCTGGGCAATATTAGCCATGAGTAGAACAACCTGTAAAACTGAGAGGCGGAGCTAGGAAAAGGGTGATATCCCCCTACAGCTTTTTGCTTCTCTTTGACTTGAAGGAGGGGTAAACATGATAGACTCCCATGAACTCTCTTCAGCAGACAAGCAATGAGGGAGGCCTATAATTTCATTCTGGTCAGTTTTTGTACGGCACAAAAACAAACAAACAAACAAACCCACACACCAAGGGCTTGAAGCAGACAGAAATGGGAAAGGAACTAAAATTCCCCTGCAAACATGAAATGGTTCATCATTAACTTAAACCAATTTTCATATGAGAACACTTGGATATAAATTGGCCATGAATAAATTTTATGCTGGAAGTTTAAAGAAGGTTTCTATAAACTCTCAGAAGAGTGAGGTTCAAGAACAGCCTCCCAACAGGAACAGTGGGAGGCAAACAACCTAACTAGTTTTAAGAATGATCTAGATAAATTTTAGTGGAATTTGATGGGGTTGCTTGGGAAGAGGGGGAGGCTGGGCTTAGTGGCCCAAAGAGTTCCTTTTGGGTTAGTTTTATGTTCCTAAATCTCATGCAGGACTTTAGCTGGTCAGCTGTAGATGTCATGAAGGAATTCCTTCCTTCCCACCCATCCCTGATGTAGTCAGAGTTTTTTCCCTTCCCTTTTCTGATGCATCAGAAAAGACCATGCCCAGATGGGACTCTGGAAAAGGTGGGCTAGTGCACTGAGGCTGTGTAGAGAATTTTCTTGTACCATTCACTTGGCTGATGGGTCTTTCTCACGTGCTCCAGATCACTGATTGCCAGATTTGGGGTCAGGAAGGAATTTTCCCCCAAGTCAGGATGGCAGGAAACTTGGGGTCAGGGGTTGTTTTGATTTGCTTTTTTGCCTTACTCTGCAGCATGGGCCACAGGTTCCTTGCTAGAATCGTCTGGATATATCTCACCAAATCTGGATATATATCTCACCAAATCAATTCCCTGCCATTGCAGGGGCCTCGGACATTGGTTCACCTCAGTCCCTTGTACTCTCTACCTGTGGCACATAATAGTTTAGTCTTCTGAGGGCTGTATTACATTAGTTTAATCTAGGTTATTGGGTTCAATATAGGGATAACTGGGTGGGTTTCCATAGCTCGTAATGTGCACGAGGTCAGAGTACATGATCTGTTGGTCCCTTCTGGCCTTAAAAACTGTGACATGCTGCCGCTAAGGAATCAAGCTTGGTACAATCAGTGAGTAAAGCAAGGACACACTGTTTGTATCAGATTCTATTTGCACTAACTTTCAAATGAATGTGACCAGTTACTGACATGGCTGGTTAAAAAAAACAACAAATTTTGTTATGAGAAAAATTATGAATTTCAGAGTTTTTATTTTGAAGTGTCCATTTTTTCAAAGTTTCACAGTTTACTCATTTAAAAATATGAAAAATTATCAAAATGGCTTTTGTATTGTTTACCAAAATCCATTTTTTTGGAACTGAAAAAATTTACAACTGTTTAAAAAAAATAAAATTCAGCCAGCTTTATTGTAAGTGTTGTTTGTGTCCACACAAAACTTAGTTAATACTTAGTTCTAATCATGCATTGACCACATCAACAGCATATGATTATCTTCCAGTAGTCAGGTTAAAATGCTGTTGGTTTTGCTGAGTATACAGGACCCCCTACCTGCCATCTAGGTAACCAAGATGGCATGTACTTCCTTACAGCTTTGTGCTGGTGGTGGTCTTTGTGCATCTCCTCTGGGCACTCAGAAAGGGGGCAGAAAGGGGTCTCTAGCAATACTTTCCCAGAAATTGTTGATGCAAATAATGGTAGGCAGCGTAGTAGGTGTAGTTACACAGCCACGGTTGACATGGTTGTGTTGTGAATAAAGCTGCCTTTTTGTTGTAACCAGGTCAAATTAGCAGGTCATCAGCTGATTACAGAATCAAGGTTACAGTTATAGGGGACAAAAGAGGAGATCCTGGGACCAAAATGGCCCCTGATTTAATTTAGGGCTACTCTGAATTATGCTGGTTGAAGCAATCTCATAGTCTGGGGCTACAGATCTGGCCCATAGCTTAGATGGGGCCTTACAAGGCAAAGTACTCCCTACTCCACCCACTTTTTATACAGCTCCTTTCTGTGGTCAGCTTTGGATTTTAAAGGTTTATCATTCAGTCATGTGTGGAACTTGAAATTAGTTTTCTATTGATTTGATTGTGGCTAAGATCACAGGGATCCCATGCTATAACTGTGAGGTTTATGCTTTGTGCAAAGAGAACTCCATCTCTTTCCAGTCTCTCAAACCCTGGTCCCATAAGTGATTTTCATCTCTGTTTATCTCTCATCAGATAAAGGGGAATTTGAAGGTATTGTTGCTGCCCTTTGTCTTGGCATCACATCCACCATGTTTTTTCTACCCATCATTTGTTCATTGATGCTTAGAAGGTAAGAGGGTAGTATTGATTTGGCTATTGCACAGCATAAGTACATTTTACTGACCTTGCATTCTGTAGTGTTGAGTCATGTGTTATTTTTGCACAACTAGTCTTTCTAATTTGAAACTAGAAATGACAAGTCCTTATGAGACAGGATGCAAAAAAGCAAGTTATACTGATAATTTACACAATTCTTGTGGGTTTGGAACAGCTTTAACAAACCAAGAATGTGCAAGCTACAGTGACTAAAGAGGCTTCTTTGCCACAAACTCAGAATGTTTTAGTCTTTGATACAGCTGCCAGTCCAGTTACCATCTCATACATCAATGGGATAAGTATGTAATACCACCTACTGTCCCAAAAATAGATAAAACTTCTTATGCAAGGAATAATTGTCCAATTGATAATTATGGCCTATTTTTCCTGATGAACTGGGATCACAGTCCTATTACAGTAGGACTGTGGATTGATTGTTCAAAGCCACATATAGATTGATATAATTTAGAAAGTCCCACTAGCCTAAGTAGTGCATCAAATCCCACTGGTGCAAATCTGGGACATGATCTCGTACCACCTCCAACATTATGTTAAATGAGTGAAGAGGAAACAATGAGGGGAAGAAGACAGAGATAACAAGGCACCTGTTGAGACATGATGGTGGTTTTTCCCATTTTGTGAGGAACTACTTTCTATAGTGGAAGAATGTTGCATAATATCCCCTCCCCCAGAGAACAGTCTTTTTAAAATATTATTTTTACAAAATGTAAACTGAAGGAGCTATACTCTAATAAAATAAATAAATAAATAAATAAATAATAAACCATGACTGGTTGCACATTAGTAAACTATTGGTGTGCATCTGAAAATGCACCAATAGTCTACTAATGCAAAACCTGTCATAGATTACTATAAGGAAACCCTGGAACCCTGCCCCCATCTCCGTTTTTTCTGCTTTAACTATTTCTCCTGTCATTATCTGACTTGATTAGTGCTAAGTGACTAGAGCAGACAAGATGTCAAAACCATAGCCTAAGGTCAAATATGGTCCATGGCATGATTTATTCTGGTCTACTGCTCCACCACAACTCTCCTCCCTGCAGCAACTACTCATCCTTTCTGGCCTCTCTCTGGCTTATCGCTACTTTCAGAATTTGAGGCTCATTGATATCTGTTCTGTAGCCGGAGGTGACAGCTTGAGTTTGTGTCAGGGCACTGGGAAATAGTGTGTCAAATCATGTGAACCTGTTATGATTTCAAGTTTGGAGCATGCCAAAATAAAACCAACCAACCAACCAACCGAAAACCTGAAGACTGACCCTACCCTTTGCATGAGAAAAAAATATATAAACATTTTTAAGATTCCAGAAACCTACATAACAGTTGTTTCTGACAGGATATTTTTGGAGGGTGGGGGTAGGGGGCAGGGTGGTGGTCTAAGAAAATGAATTCACTCAGTCACATGAGCTAGGCTGATTTCTTAAAAAGTGCATCTAAAGGCAGAGCAGGCAGACAGCTTGAACTCCTTCAGTGACTTCCGGAAGCCTCTCAGCTCATGAGAGCAGAGTCAGAAAATGTTTATTCATCCAACAAAATACAATCTAGCTTTGAGGTATTGCACTGATAATATTAAAGTGAATCATTTTAAAAAAAAACACATACAGAGTGCTATTCTACTGATTTCATATGCAGAGAGAATTGGGGCCAGGAGATTCTCAACAGAGTCCAAGTTAAATTAATTCTACTCACACTGACTTCAACAGGAGCAGAGTTAGGCCAACATTAACTGCTTTTGAAATTCCTTCCCTGCTTCCACATTTTGCTCTCCACCATTTCCACTGGAAAATAATTGCCAGAAGCTCCGTTATTGTTATGGAAGTGCCAAACTAATCAGGATGGAGCCTTGTGTTGCTCAGAGCGATACAGAGGTAGTCTCAGTCCCTGTTCTGAGAAGCTTACAGTCTAGGATGACCCATATTAAGGCTGGGATGGGAGGGGTAATGATACTCTAGATATAATTTTTATATACATATTGTAATAGAGACTTACCCAATCTGGCTCTGGGCTTGTCTCCTGCCTCAGTTTCCCCTTGCCTTGAGATGGTTCTTTCTGCCATGGCCTTCTGGTCAAGTCAAAAGTCCTCCCCTTCCAGAGTATAAGCCAAGTCCAAACACACACAAGTCTTCCATGCCACACTCACCTGACACAGTCCTTCTTTCAAGGGTTCATTTTCTCTTCCACACCACACTCTTTCAGCATTACCCTTCTCCTGGGCTCAGCTGTAGCCTTCCTGGGCACTACTCGGTCCTTTCATCCACCCTTCATTCACAGGGTTCAATGCATCACCTCACCAGGTGGCAGCTTAAAAAAAAAGTCACTCCTGTCTTCCCTTAATAGCAAGGGTCTCTGCAACCCCTCACAGAGCGACAGCATAGGCACACCCAGCCTCCGCTACAGATGCCCAGCCTTGGGAACCCAGAACACCTGGGCTGTCTGCCCTGTTATCCCAGGCTATCCTGCGTTCTTTCCAGGGCCTCTTCCCACATGCTTCCAGGCCTCCTATTGCTCCTTCCCACTTTTTATAGCTCACAGACCTACTTCCATGGAGTCTTCCTGTTCACTTTTCACAGAGCATTCACTTACAAGCCCTTACTAGTGGAGTCTCCCTCATCCACTCTTGACAGGCTGCTCTTATCCCCACAGCAGGCCTGCTATTATCACCTAACTTCAGCAGGCATTTCCACCACCTGGGGGAGGTGAGTAGGGTTGTTAACTTTCTAATCACACAAAACCAAACACCCCTGGCCTGCCCCTGAGGCCCCCACCCCTTCTCCGAGGCCCTGTCCCCACTCATTCCATCTCCGCTCACTCTCCCCTACCCTCACTCACTTTCACCAGGTTGGGTGCAGAGGGTTGTGATGCAGGGGGGTGAGGGCTCAGGTTGGGGGTGTGGGCTCTGGGGTGGGGCCAGGGATGAGGGGTTTGGGATGCAGGAGAGGGCTCCAGGTTGGAGTGCGGGGGTGGGTATGGGCTCTGGCCTGAGGGCAAGGATGAGGTGTTTAGGGTGCAGGAGGGGGCTCTGGGCTCAGGCCAAGGAGTGCAGGAGGGGGTGCAGGCTCTTGCTGGGGGCATGGGCTCTGGGATGGGGCCAGGGATGAGGGGTTTGGGGTGAAGGAAGGGGCTCCAGACTGGTGCAAGGGTGTCGGGGGGAGTGAGGGCTCCGGCTGGGGGTATGGGCTCTGGGGTGGGGCCAGGATGAGGGGTTTGGAGTGCAGGAGGGGGCTGGGGTAGGGGGTTGCAGGGTGTGCAGGCTCCGGGAGGGAGTTTGGGTGTGGGAGGGACGCCAGGCTGGGGCAGAGGGTTGGGGTACGGGAGGGTGTTCAGGGTCTCGGCAGCGCTTACCGTGGCTCCCGGAAGTGGCCGCCAGGTCCCTGCAGCCCCTAGATGCATGGGTGGCCAGGGAGACTCTGTACGCTGCTCTTGCCCCCACAGGAGCTGTCCCCACAGCTCCCATTAGGTGTGGTTCCTGGCCAATGGAAGCTGTGGAGCCTTCCATGCGTCTAGGGGCTGCAGGGACCTGGTGGCCACTTCCAGGAGCCGCGTGGAGATAGGGCAGGCAGGGAGCCTGCCTTAGCCCTGGGGCCCCGCTGCACCGTCAAGTGGACTTTTAACGGCCCAGTGTTCAGGAGCTGCCAGAGTCCCTTTTTGACCAGGCATTCTGGTCGAAAACTGGATGCCTGGCAACCCTAGTGAGCCAAGAATGCCACTGGTGCATTTGAGCCCCAACCCTCTTAAAGGCCCAGCTCACTCTGTGGCATGTATACTTATTTCCATTTTAGAGTAGTTTTGTATTTATAAAAATAGTATCACCTTTCTCCAGCTGCCTCTCAGTTTAAACCATCAAATACTGTCTGATTTCTTGTAGGCCTGGAGGCCTAGCTTGAACACATACATGGTAAAGTTAGCCAGAGTTAGAGGTGGCTAGCTTTTTAAAGCTTGTTATTTCTCAGGTCCCAAGTTCAATAAGAGATTATAAACCACGTTGAGGTGGTGTTCATGAAGGCCCTCAGCTGAAGCTAATTTGAACAAGGCTCATGAATTTGGTTTTACCTTGGTAAAGCACCACAGGTTTTCCCACACCACTAACCCTAATAGGATTTAAGCACAGAGGCAGACATACTAGCTAAGCCCTGAAAATGCAGCTAGAATTTGGATTTTATATCAAGTCTGCATGAGGAAGTACCTATTTGTTGTAGCAACCAGACAAGGTACTAACAAACTTCAACAGGCCTTTATTTTTAAAGTGGAAATCTCTTTACCAAGCTGCTGCTGCACCCTCGGTAGCTCTCACTCCACCTCCTCAACTCCTTCCCATTTCCTGTCCTTTCACACTCCCAACAGCCAGTGATCCCAGTTTAATAATTACAAGGAGCATCTAAACATCACATTCCCTCCTCTCTTAAGAAACTCTCCCAATTAAAATAAACATTGTTGTTCTAACCACAGGAACAAATATGAAACAAGACACTATACTGCTGGCAGAAATATTACACTGAAAACACTGTAGATACTACATAACAGTCTCTAGTCCAGACAGGTGGTAGTCTGGGTCTTGCATAAAATTCCAGGTTTTCGTATTCTAACGAAGGAACCACACTCTAAAACTTTGGTTCCTTAGCACCCCACCGCTTGTCTGTGAAATCCTTATACTTTGCTTGGTTCTGTTCAACTGTTTTTCTCACATCATCCTCGGTTGGGGCCTCAGGTCATGCCTTTAACAATCCAGCAATGTTCAGTTTAGTATTCTTCTGTTTCCCATGCAGTAACTCTGTGGGTGATCTTTGCATTGTGGCATGTAGTGTAGCCCGGTATGCTTGCAAGAAATCAGTAGTGAAGGTTATCCACAATCGCCCTTCCAGTTTAGCAGTTTGCAAACTGCCTTTCAAAATTCTGTTAAACCGTTCAATTTCCCCATTGGCTTGAGGGTAATATAGGGATGACCTTCTGTGTAAAATGTTCCTCTCTGCTAGAAAAGTTTCAAACTCCAGGGAAGTAAATTGACTACCATTATCTGAAACCAGTTCTTTGGGGTTATCTTCCCTGCTAAAAACTGAAGAGAGGAACTTAATTCTGTAGCAGAAGAGATTTGCGATGTAAACGCTACCTCAGGCCATTTACTGAAATAGTCTATTAAAGTGATGGTATAACTGCAGTCACTTGGAGCAGTATCAAAGGGTCCTACAATGTCCATTGCCACTTTTTCCCATGCAGATTCAGGAAGAGGAACAGGCTGTAATGGAGGGGTATATGTCACTGCTGTCTTATCATGCATTTGGCAAGTGACACAGGTTTTCCAGCCTGGGAAATTGTATGCCCCAGAAAGGAGAGTTCGGTTTGTCTAAATTTGCATTTGGACCTATTGAGCTTGAGGCCTGCTTTGCCGATGCAGTTTAGTACAGACGACAGGTTATTGTCATGCTTCTCAGAAGTATTTCCAAACATGATAATCATCCAGATAGCACTGAACTCCATATTGATTCTTCAGAATCAATTACATCATTTTTTGGAAGGCATTTGGGGCAGATGCAAGACCATATGCAACACGTTTAAAATGAAATAGTCCCTCATGTGTAATAAATGCTGTGAGGTCTCTGCTATCTTCATGCAACATAACCTGGTGGTATGCGCTCTGCAGATCAAGAGTAGAAAACATCTTTGCTCCACAGAGTTCTGCAAATACTTCTTCTATGTGAGGAAGAGGATGGCTGTCAATCACAATAGCTTTATTTGGCTCCCTTAAGTCCACACAAAGGTGAATGGCTCCACCCTTCTTCTGTGTCACTACTATATGTAAAAAGAAAAGGAGTACTTGTGGCACCTTAGAGACTAACAAAGGTATTTGAGCGTAAGCTTTCGTGAGCTACAGCTCACTTCATCAGATGCATTCAGTGGAAAATACAGTGGGGAGATTTATATACACAGAACATGAAACAATGGGTGTTACCATCCACACTGTAACCAGAGTGATCACTTAAGGTGAGCTATTACCAGCAGGAGAGGAAAAAAAAAGACCTTTTGTAGTGATAATCAAGGTGGGCCATTCCCAGCAGTTGACATCACCTTCAGCCCCCAACTAAAACCTCTCCAGAGCATCATCAAGGATCTACAAACTATCCTGAAGGACGACCCATCACTCTCACAGATATTGGGAGACAGGCCAGTCCTTGCTTACAGACAGCCCCCCAACCTGAAGCAAATACCCACCAGCAACCACACACCACACAACAGAATCACTAACCCAAGAACCTATCCTTGCAACAAAGCCTGTTGCCAACTGTGACCACGTGTCTATTCAAATTTATTTGAGCATAAGCCTTTGTGAGTTTCAGCTCACTTCATCGGATGAAGTGAGCTGTAACTCACGAAGGCTTATGCTCAAATTTGTTAGTCTCTAAGGTGCCACAAGTACTCCTTTTCTTTTTGCGAATACAGGCTAACACGGCTGCTACTCTGAAACATATTTATTCAGGGGACACCAACATAGGGCCTAATCACATCAGCCACACTATCAGAGGCTCGTTCACCTGCACATCTACCAATGTGATATATGCCATCATGTGCCAGCAATGCCCCTCTGCCATGTACACTGGCCAAACTGGACAGTCTCTACATAAAAAAATAAATGGACACAAATCAGACGTCAAGAATTATGACATTCAAAAACCAGTTGGAGAACACTTCAATCTCTTTGGTCACTAGATTACAGACCTAAAAGTGGCAATTCTTCAACAAAAAAACTTCAAAAACAGACTCCAACGAGAGACTGCTGAATTGGAATTGATTTGCAAACTGGATACAATTAACTTAGACTTGAATAAAGACTGGGAGTGGATGTGTCATTACACAACGTAAAACTATTTCCCCATGTTTATTCCTCCCCCCCGCTGTTCCTTGGACGTTCTTGTGAACTGCTGGAAATGGCCCACCTTGATTATCACTTTTTTTTTTCTCTCCTGCTGGTAATAGCTCACCTTAAGTGATCACTCTGGTTACAGTGTGTATGGTAACACCCATTGTTGCATGTTCTCTGTGTATATAAATCTCCCCACTGTATTTTCCACTGAATGCATCCGATGAAGTGAGCTGTAGCTCACAAAAGCTTATGCTCAAATAAATTTGTTAGTCTCTAAAGTGCCACAAGTACTCCTTTTCCTTTTTGCCAATACAGACTAACACGGCTGCTACTCTGAGTACTATACGTGAAACCCATTCTGAGGAGTCAATCTCTTCAATAACGTCCTTTCGAACAAGTTTTCTCAGTTCCTCTGAAACAGCTTCCTTGACTGAAAATGGTAAGCGCCGTAACTTCTGTTGTACAAGCATCACATTATTCCGCTTTTTAACTTTATGCAGAAATCCATAAGCACAGCCAAGTTTCTCCTCAACCTGGTGTTGGGTCCCAGCTGAAACTGGTGTGTGTACTGCAAAAGTGCTTTGCTGAGGAAGATCAATTCATCCATTAACTACCCTGAGATTTAAAGCAGCCAATAAATCTCTGCCAAGGATAGGAGTGCCTTTGTGAACAATGTAGAACTCTGCAGTTACACAGCAATCACCAAAAGTAACTATTGCTGGCAGGCAGCCATGTACTGGAATATTTTTTTTTCAAATAGCACACCAAGTGAAGTTTGGGTTCAGTAAGAGGCACATCTTTACAGTAATGCAAATTTGATGGAATCAGGTAGTATAGATACTGCTGAGCCAGTGTCCAACATTAGCTGAATAAAGAGTGATTTGCCTGAGGGTATGACAGAAACGTTTACAGTGCACTTTATTTGTTCTGGAATATGTGCAGTAGTGATTTTGTCCACGCTCAGCACAGTAACATCTGGTATTGTAACTGCATGCACCTGTTGATTGAACTGGCTGCTGCGACATACTTTAGCAAAATGCCCAATCTTTTTGCAATGATTGCACTAAGCAACATTTGCCGGACATCCTGTATAGCTTGCAAGGTGTTGTGGGGATCCACAGTGAAAGAATGTATTTTGAATTTGCTGATTCGGTGGTTTTCCATTAGTTTTCCTCTTGTAATTGTTTGTCTGCAGCGACAGTGAACTTTTCTTCAAAGGAGTCACAGCCTGGACTGTGCCTCCTGTATCCATGCTCATTATTTTGGCTTCAGCTGTAGCTGACTCAATCTGGGTAGCAATGGTTATTGCTTTTTCTAGTGTAAGTTGTGGTTCTAAAAGGAAGCGTTCTCTTACATGAAGCACGGTTGTTTTCTCAATGAGCTGGTCTCTAATCATCTCATCTGCCATATTCCCAAAGTCACAAGTTACAATCAGACTCCTCAGGGAAGCAATATACTGCATTATAGGCTCCCCTGTTTTCTGCTCATGCTGGCAAAATCTGTAGTGATTAACTACTACATTCACTTTTGGCACAAAAAAGTTCTTTAATGCAGTGAGTGCAGTCTCATATTTATCATCTTCAAGGGGAAACATGTAAAATATATGCTGACCTTCTGCTCCAAGGCAGTGGATTAGCAAAGCATGCTTTCTTACTTCAGAAATCTCTGTAGCACTGATTGCAAGCAGATAAGTCTCAAACATATGGATCCAGGCAATAAAAGCAATTGGAGGCTTACCTGGGCTTTGCAGAAAGGGTGCAGGTGGGTTCAGAGGCAGAAGATCCATCCTCGTTGCCAAAATGTTGTAGCAACCAGGCAAGATACTAACAAACTTCAACAGGCCTTTATTTTTAAAGTGGAAATCTCTTTACCAAGCTGCTGCTGCACCCTCGGTAGCTCTCAGTCCGCCTCCTCAACTTCCCCCCCTCCTTCCTGTTTCCTGTCCTTTCAGACTCCCAACAGCCAGTGCTCCCAATTCTAATAATTACAAGCAGCATCTAAACACCACACTATTGCTCTACAGTTAGTTCACTGAATACCATGTCTGATCCTTCAGTCAAGTAGGTGGATCTCCCATTGTGTCGGAGTCCTAAGCAAGGGGTGACATGGGCTAATATAGCTCTGCTGCACTCTGCCTTCTAGTCCCTAGGCCTCCACAGGTTTGTAGCATCATGGGGGAGGAGCAGATGCTTGCTCTTGATTGATGGGCAGATTTCTAAATGGAAACTGATCTATAAGTTGCTACTGATAAGACAAAGTAAACCTGCAAGGGAGGAAAGGGGGTTGGAGGAGCCAGGAAATAGTGATGGATTAAAGAAAGAGAAAGTGGATATGCAGTATAGATGGAAAGAGAGTCACATGCTGATGGCCTTCATAGCTCGTTAATTACACTAAATAATTTTGCATCAGAAACTCACTAACTTACTGTGAAAATATAGACTATAGGTTGGGACCTCCAATTTGAGTGTTTGTGTGTGTTGTTAATAGCTGCTAGAAGACATCCTGGTCTGATGTGCATGAAAACACTGACAAACTATGTACATGACTTGTGATGAAAACAGAAGTATATGAAGGCTCAGTCATTTAATTGGAGCCTCAGTTTAAAAAGCATGTCTTTCCAGGTCAAGAAAATTGTGCTGGCCAACTGTCCCAGATCCAAGAAACAGCAGCGCTATCCAAGATGTGGCAAGAATCAGTCCACGGGTATGAAAAGTGTTTATGAATGGGCCCTTTCAGTGAATTACAGCAGCACTGATTACTAGGGTCTTCTCTTTTTAATTGTGCCAGGTAAATGTACAGCATTAAAGATCTAGCAGAAGCTCTGGTAGTATTAGGAACGTAGTGTCAGGCTTTTACAGGGGATTTTCCGACTCTTCCAACATTATGCAACATGCACTGAGGCAAATGTGTGAAAAACAAAGACAAAAAACCATGAAGTAACTCAAAAAGGAAAAAAAAAGTTACTTTTTTGACTTATACAAAGTCCATTATGTAAGAGTCAATAATCACCAGGACTGATGGTTTCTTGAGAAATCCAGAGTGTGAAAGTTCACGTGAATCTGGAATTGTTCAAATACACAATTAATAGAATCCTGGAATATATGAAAGTTAGATAAAACATTTTGAACCAAAATTCACAGCTGCATCACAAAGGAGCTGGTTTCTGATATCTAATTCTGGGACTAGTTCTTCACTGACCTCAGCTTCAGCACACTTCTGAGGGCTTTGGGGGTACTCTAACTAGTCAGAGACTAATCACAGCAAGACCTTATATTCCAACCAAGTATTGCAAGAACTCAGTAGTGTACTCAAGTCATGAACTTTCCCTATCTACACCTGCCTGCCATATGTCATCTGCTGGGGCAGGGGCCAGAGGAGCTAGCTACATCAGCTCTGTGTTAGCAAATTGCTAGCTAAAAGATCCATACTTCAGTGTTTAAGAAATCTCTAGCTTATATGGGTCAGGAGGATCTCTCACTTTTGCCTACTGTTGGGTTTCTTGCGCCTTCCTGTGACGCATCTGGTGCTGGCCAATGTCTAAGCTAGGATACTAGACTAGATGGACCATAGGTCTGATCTAGTATGGCAGTGTTTATGATCATATCCTGTGTTCCGTAGCAGAGTGGATCTGACTTTTTTTTAGCCTTTTTTGTATTTGTTTTGGTGGTGGTGGTTGTTGTTTTAAAACACTTCCAGATTTTTACAAAGTATGAGTAGGTAAAATAGTATGTTCATGGTCAGTTAGAATCATGGAAGATTAGGGCAGGAGGTCATCTAGTCCAACCCCAACTAAATCATCCCAGCCAGAGCTTTGTCAAAAAGGGCCTTGAAATCCTCTAAGGATGGAGATTTCACCACCTCCCTAAGTAACCCATTCCAGTGCTTCTCCACCCTCCTAGTGAAATAGTTTTCCTAATATCCAACCTAGACCTCCCCCACTCCAACCTGAGACCGTTGCTTCTTGTTCTGTCATCTGCCGCCACTGAGAATAGCCTAGCTCCATCCTCCATCCTCATCCTCCATCCCTTTCAGGTAGTTGAAAGCAGCTATCAAATCCCCCTTCACTCTTCTTTTCTGCAGACTAAACAATCCCAGTTCCCTCAACCTCTCCTCGTAAATCATGTGCCCCAGGCCCTAATAATTTTTGTTGCCCTGCCCTGGACTCTCTCCAATTTGTCCACATCCTTTCTGTAGTGGGGGTCCCAAAACTAGAAGCAATATTCAAGATGTAGCCTCACCAGTACCAAATAGAGGGGAATAATCATTTCCTTCGATCTGCTGGCAATGCTCCCACTAATGCAGCCCAATGTTAGCTTTCTTGGGAACAAGGGCACACTCTTGACTTATATCCAGCTTCTCGTCCACTGTAATCCCCAGGTCCTTTTCTGCAGAACTGCCGTTTAGCCAGTCGGTCCCCAGCCTGTAACAGTGCATGGGATTCTTCTGTCCTAAATGCAGTACTCTGCACTTGTCCTTGTTGAACCTCATCAGATTTCTTTTAGCCCAATCCTCCAATTTGTCTAGGTCACTCTGGACCCTATCCCTACCCTCCATCATATCTACCTCTCCCCCCAGCTTACTGTCATCTGCGAACTTGCTGAGGGTGCAATCCATCCCGTCATCCAGATCATTAATGAAGATGTTGAACAAAACTGGCCCCAGGACCGACCCCTGGGGCACTCTGCTTGATAACGGCTGCCAACTAGACATCAAGCTGTTGATCACTACCCATTGAGCCTGACGATCTAGCCAGCCTTCTATCCACCTTATAGTCCATTCATCCAATTCATACTTTTTTAACTTGCTGGCAAGAATACTGTGGGAGACCATATCAAAAGCTTTGCTAATGTCAAGATATATCACGTCCACCACTTTCCCCTCATCCACAGAGCCAGTTATCTCATCATAGAAGGCAATCAGGTTGGTCAGGCATAACTTGCCCTTGGTGAATCTATGTTGACTGTTCCTGATCACTTTCCTCTCCTCCAAGTGCTTCAAAATGGATTCCTTGAGGACCTGCTCCATGATTTTTCCAGGGACTGAGGTGAGGCTGACTGGCCTGTAGTTCCCTGAATTCTTCTTCTTCCCTTTTTTAAATATGGGCACTATATTTGCCTTTTTCCAATCGTCCAGGACCTCCCCGAAGTTGCCACGAATTTTCAAAGATAATGCCCAATGGCTCTGCAATCACATCAGCCAACTCCCTCAGCACCCTCGGATGCATTAGATCTGGACCCATGGACTTGTGCATGTCCAGCTTTTCTAAATGGTCCTTAACCTGTTCTTTCACCACTGAGAGCTGCTCACCTCCTCCCCATACTGTGATGACCAGTGCAGCAGTCTGGGAGCTGACCTTATCTTTGAAGACCAAGGCAAAAAAAGCATTGAATACTTCAGGTTTTTCCACATCTGTCACTAGTTGCCTCCCCCATTCAGTAAGGGTCCCACGCTTTCCCTGACAGTTAGTGACATTTAGCAAAAATAAAATTAAAATATTTGGATTGTTGAATTTAGAAAGAACGATTACTTACGCTGAAGAACGCCAGGTTCAGTAAGATGTTTTAGCCACATGGACCCCACTGTAGGTGCACATAGGCCCCATGAGCACAAAATCAGATTATTTTGGCCAGCAAGGTCTGCTGGGGCCACACATTCACCCTGGTTACTCTTGCCCACCCCACCCAGGGCATAAAGGGAGGAGTGGGCACAACCATCCCACAGGATTATGTATTAATGAAGGCACTTGGGGTATTTCTGCACTGCAAAGGAAAATCCATGGCACTGAATCTCAGAACTCAGGTCACTTGACTTGGGCTTGCAGGGCTTGGTCTTAGGGGCTAAAAATAGCAGTAAGACGTTCCCACTCGGGCTGTAACCTGTAACCTCACCCTCCCCTTCCTCCTTCCATCTGCCAGGTTTCAAAGCCTGGACTCCAGCCCAAGCAGGAATGTCTGTACTGCTACTTGCAGCCCAAGCCCCACAAGCCCAAGTTAATTGACCCAGGCTTTGAGACTTGATACCACAGGTTTTTCTTTCCAGTGTGGACACAGTTTAAGACCACAGGACTCCACAGTAGCAAAACAGGAGGACCAATCACGGCAGCCATGTGGACAGGACATCTAAGAACTAGTGCTACTGTAATGTAAATAACTGTTCTTGCTCCTTCAAGTATTTGTTCCTGCAGATCCTGCCCTTGGTGACTGGCTATCAGTTATTCCCCTAGGAAGGTGGGTGCCAGTAGTTCTGTCTACATAAAGGCTTAGGACCACACTGCCAAATGGGCATCCAATCTAGAACCTGCCACTAAGGAATAAGTAAAAATATGTATTGAATTCCAAGTTGATGCCATGAAAATCTGATAGAGGGATACTCCTAAAACATATCAGGAAGGTTCCTTGAGGCCTAGTAAAGTGTGCTTTAATTTGAGAAGCAGCAGCTAACGTATGTAGTTCATAGAAGACCTTAATACAATCAGATGCCCATTGTGAGAAGCTCTGGGTCAAAAGAGCCTGCTCTCAAAAGCTGTCCCCAAACTCTATAAATAGCCATGGTGACTCAAAGATTTTGCTCTACTGAGGTAGGAGAAAGCTCTCAGAACAAATGTATGGAGCATTGCTTCCCAGGCAGAAAGAATACTGGTAAGTGTATGTATTGATTTAAAAGTAAGTTTGAGACTACGTTGGATAAGAGTTTTGGGAGAGGTCCAAGAATCACCTGGGTTTTGTATATAAGGTGGTCCTACCATTAAACACTTGATTGAATCTGGCTCACCCTTTCAGCAGAGATACTAACTACCCAAAATGCTGTCATAATAGAAAGATGATATGATGCCATAGGCTCAAAAAGGGATGTTCCATTAGTGCCGAGATACCACATTTAGTTCCCAGGGAGGGAAAATTCTTTAACGGGTAGAAACACATGGATCAGGCCCTTCAGAAACAGTCAGGTGAAAAAATACTGTGTGAACCTGAATGACGGGGAAACAGGTCGATATTGTCGAATGACTCCTAAATTGAGCTGGTTGAAAGTCCTGAATGTTTCAACGACAATAAAATGATCCGGAACATTGACCCTGAGCAACCCAAAGCAAAAATCATTTCCACCTGGTTTTATATGTTAACGTTTCTGCTCTGCTTCAAAATGCAGAACAATTCCTGGCTGTGGAACTTAATCAGCGAGCCTCCATGCTGTTAGGTAGAGAAATGATGGACCAGGTTTAGGAGCAGACAGTGATTCTGTGAAATCAGCATCCAGAAGATTTGAAAGAGTGAAGGGCAGTTTAATCAATAGATGCATCTGCCAGAGTACCAAAACTGACACACCCATCCTGGTGCTATCAGTATTAACAAGGCTTTGACCTATCTTATTTTACTCAGGACTCTCGAAATTAAGGGAATTCTGTGGTAAGGCATCCAACAGGTTTCTGTCCCACTGACTCATAAATGCAGCCAAAAGGGAGCCTGGGCTCACATGTCTCCTCAGGACAAAAAGCATGTGACATTTCTTGTTCAAGTTGCTGGCAAAGAGGTCTATGGTCAGAAGAGGTCATTTTAAGATAAGTTGATCAGGGACTAGAGCTGCATCAATAACTGATTTTTCAGTTCACTGGCAGTTCTGGAAAAAAATTTGTTTTGGGTCCACATAATTGCATCCAAGGTCATACAGGGCACATGTGTGGCTCCAACGGACACGGCTGTCCAAAAGAATCAGATCGTGTGTGCAAAGCACACATTTGCCCATATGTAAGAAACCCAAAGTATCCAGCACACAGGTGCAAGGTGTTGTGATTTCCATCTGCAAGATGGAAGACTTGTATAGCGAAGTTCTCCATCCTAGAATGTCACTCCAAAATAGGCACTTGGAGGGAAAAATACATAGCTGGTATGTGGCCATAATGTTACTGTACACACAGCAGAGAGAGAAGCTGTGGAAAGAAATCAAGTCAGTTAAACTGATACTGTAAGAAATATTGCTGTGCTGATAACATGGCAGAAATAGAAATAATGGTTAACAGATGAAGCATAAAGGCTTTTGGGGGAAAACATAGCTCAGAATGAGTAGGCAGCAGAACAAGGCAGCTACTCTTGGAGACATTACCTAGTGGTAACCTGACATTAGCAAAGGCTCATGAAATGTGATAGATGCACCCACATACACCAGTGAGCATTGTGAAGTTGTTAAATAGAAGCTGATTCCCTCAGGGAATTTCACTATAGTCAGAGCGCTCACAAAATTTCTTCAAGTCAAGAACGAACACAGTCAAGTAAATCAGTAGTAAATTCTTAGAAGAAATAAAGGAGATCAAGCATATGATCAAAAGTACCTACTGCAAATTTCCCCTGCAAACTCAGATGGGATACCAGATATCACAATCTAAGAAAAATTCTAGGAATTACTGAATTAAATCACTGAACTTTCTAATAGCTGCAGTAGTCATAAGTACCTCACCAATATAAAGCATGCAAAGATTAGGAACACAGGAACTTCCATAACTGATTGGACCAGCAATCCAGGAAATCCAGTAGCCAATCTCCAATAGTGCCTATACCACATTCTTCAGAGCAAGGTGCCAGAATCACTTTAAGGGACAATTATGGGGTAACGTAACCATCGGAAAGTTTTGTTCCTTAGACCGCTAGAGGATGGCTTCTGCTATGAAGCAGGCAGTCATTCTCCAGCTCATGAATGGGAGTCAGAAAGAATGAATGAAATACAATAAAGTCTTGATCATTTCTCAGGTCATCAATGCTGGAATGCACCTGCTCCACTTAAAATAAGTGAAGATTGAAGCAGTTACTGGTGGGTCAGAGAACATGACATCCAGTCTGTAATTTAAGATAGATAATGGAAAAACCAAAGCAGTGTCACCAGAAAGGAAGGATGCTATTTATGGACTATAAAAAGCCTTTCCATTCTATGTGTTTTGTGATAGTTTGTATGGCTCTAACAGGACACACACATTTCTAAGCGGGTAGTACCTGGCTTTACATCACACACTGCTCTGCAGTTTAGCCAGCCAAAATATACAAAAGCTTTCAACACAATCTTTACCTAGACCAAAGTGATAGTGAAGCGACTAGAAGGCACTGCAGATGGACGTTGATATCAAAGGGTAATTAGGCAGAATTGCACTGTTCAATTCAACCGGTTAAATGTTGATATCAACATGTGAATCACACAGATCAATAGTTATAGGGCCCTGCACAGAACATCCTGCAGTTTACATTTCATTACTTATGTGTTACCTACCTCACCTCACTTTAACAATGAAGGGATGGAGAATATGGTCCTCTTGGGCAGAAATATTTATTTCCCTAATTAAGTTTCTCATACCAATGCACATCGTAAATGGAATTTAAAGATTAAATAAAATAGCTTGGCCAGCTCAATTAAACAAGAAAGTAATAGCTGCGGCCAGGCTTCCCATTTCCTGACTTTGTTTTTCTATTGCTTAGTATTAGTAAATTATTTATTTCAATATCATAAAAGTTTACACTATGTGCAGAAACATGCAATTATTTTTTTCTTTCCATTTCATTTTGTTTGTAGGCTAGCCAGGGACCCACTTCAAGGCTATTGCTTCAAACACAAACAGACAATGATACTACCAGCCTTCATGTGATAGAAGAGGATTCAAAGGCTTCTTTGAAGCTGCAGCCCTTTATTGAGGACACAGAAGACAACAGTGAGTGTGATGCAGGCCACTCTGAAAGTGCTGGTGGTAGCCCAGACACCTGTCCAAGTCTTTTGAAAATCCCTGAAAAAGCAATTGCAACCGAAAAAGAAAGAGTCAGCTCTAGCATGAGGGCACCTCTCCTAAGTGATTACACCAGCATGGAATTCAGTCAGAAAGCCATGCTAAGTCTGGCACTGAATCTCCTTCCGCGGGCTGTCCCTCCTCACATGGAGGGGAAACTGAACAACAGGCCAGGAAAAGTGGAGCAACGCACACTGTTTACTCCTCAAGACTATGTGAAACAGAGCCAGGTGGTGTTTACACCAACTGGACCAACACTGATGGAAGAAACCAGTTTGAGCTGAGGTCTCTCAGTGCCTCCCCGTGACATAGAAGCAAGCCCCGAAACCTTTGATGCTTTATTGGAGCAGTTACAATATTTTAGGATGGTGATTCTGTGAATGTTGATTCTTCTTTGCTTTAATAAGTTTCACAGATAAAGTAGTTTGTGCGTATAGTTACATTAGCCATTTCAGGCCCTTGCTCTTACCACAAATCATACTCAACTAAGTTTTGCAGTCATGACATGGACAAAGCTCCAGTTTGGGTCCACCAAAGATTTCTAGCTGGATATGGCTCCTTGCTACTTTGAGCCTGATAATTTGTCAGTGTTACTGTAGTAAATGCAATGTGGTCTAGTGACTCAGCTGCAGCACTGGTAGACACGAACCCTTGATTCTAGTCCCAGCCTTGTTATTTGTTTGCTGTAAGCAAGTCAAAATCTCCAAAAGTGGTGTTTAATTTTGGATGACCAATTTGAGACAACGAAGATCCGATTTTCAGAGCTGGTTAACAAAGCCCTTTGATCTGTTGGAAAGGAATCCAACCAACTTGTCTGTCTTTTGCATTTTGGGGCAGTGTGGCAACTTTCTCAACAAACTTCCTGTTCATTCCTTCCAAGAGATGTTCCTGATCAGCTTGTGTGTTTGGTCATTGAGAAGGGTACAGGAAATCCTCAAAAGCGGGAGAGCAAGTTTTCAGCCATATCACACTGGGCTCTGATAGTCTTGGCTCTCACAAGCCAGGCACAGAATTTGCTCAGTATATGGATAAGACATCTTCAATGAAAACCTAAGTGGTTACTGTAAGTGATGTTAACGAGCCAGACTCTTTGAGTCAATGATATATCAACCCCCAAGGCAGATGTTTCGCTGATAGAGGTGGCATCTTTAGGATGAGAAGAAAAACAAGCCCTCGTGGCCACCGGAGACCCTGTGACACTTTCTGCAAGAGTGGGAGTATTTGCTAGACAACCTAGCCAAACTCAGAGGAGGAGGAAATGATTCCCCTGAGTTCAGCACTTCACATTGATACAGCACCTTACATCCTGAAGTAGTGGTGCTATTATGGGTGTGCCCCGCCTTTTCACCCAAGCAGCAAATCCAAGTTCAAGGCCCTGTGGGTTGTTTCCACTAGGAAGTGAAAATAAAATAGAGGCAGGTATTTCTTTGATGCAATTTCTTTGTTTATGTATACAGAATGTACAAAGTCCAGTTTCCCCAAACAAAGGAAGAAACAACAACAGAAAACAGCATCCTTTCTTTCAGCCCATAACCCCAACCCAAAACACCTCTGTAGCTTCTTCCAGGGCCACACCATGCTATGTCTCTCTCTGTCCTGAGTTTGTTTACTTACTCACACACACACACACCACAGTCCTTCCACCTAGATTGTATGTTCCTGAGCTGACCTGCTTGTTCCTTTGTTTTGAGCTTGTTTAACTGTCTTTTACAGTTCTCTTAAGTGAAGGGTGGTAGTTAAACCTGCAACAGGCGCTATGATTTCCAGCTTTATATAAAATGGTTACTCACCTTCTTGTAACTGTTGTTCTTAGAGACGTGTTGTTCATGTCCATTCCAATCAGGTGCGTGTGTACCACAGGCATGACAACCAGAAGATTTTTCCCCTAGCAGTATCTGTAGGGTCAGCCTGGGTGTCCCCTGGAGTTGCACATTCATGGCGCCCAATATAGGGCCCTGCTGACCAGACCCCCGCTCAGTTACTTTATGCTGGGTACTCTGACAGAGGGGTAGGAGGGTGGGTATTGGAATGGACGTGAACAACATCTCAAAGAACAACAGTTATGAGAAGGTGACTAACAGTTTTTTCTTCTTCGAGTGCTTGTTCATGTCAGTTCCAATCAGGTGAATCACAAGCCCAAATTCAGATGGCGGGGTTGGAGTTGTGCACTGATTGGAGTACCGCTCTACCGAAGGCCCCATTGTCTCTGGCCTGCTGGGTAATAGCATAAAGTGTGTATGGAGGATCATGTCATTGCCCAGCATATTTCCTGGGTAGGAACCTGAGCCAGAAAAGCCACTGAACAGGCCTGCACCCTGGTGGAGGGCACAGTGATCGGAGGGGCAGGCACTCCTGCCAGGTTGTAGCACTCTCGGATGCAGGACGTGATCCATGACAAAATTCATTGAGAAGAGACTGGAAGACCCTTCATTCTGTCTGCCACAAATTGTTGAATGGACTTCCGGAATGGTTTTGTTCTTTTGACGTAAAGGGCTAGCACTCTGGAGACATCCAAATAATGAAGCCTTTGCTCCCTGCTACTCGAGTGCACCATAGGATAGAACACTGGGAGGAAGATGTTCTGGTTGATGTGAAACTGGGAAACAACCTTTGGTAGGATAGCTGGATGTGGCCTGAGCTGAACCTTGTCCTTGTAGAACATGGTGTAAGAGGGCTGTCATGTTAGGGCCTTGAGCTCAGACACCCTCCTGGCTGAGGTTATCACTACCAGAAACGCCACCTTGTACGAAAGGTAGAGGAGGGAGCATGTCGCTAGCAGTTCAAAAGGTGGTACCATCAGTCTGGAAAGGATCAGGTTGAGGTCCCAGGCCGGGACTGGCTGCCTGACTTGCAGATAGAGTCTGTCGAGACCTTTGAGGAAACGACTGACCATAGGGTTGACAAAGATTGACCAGCCCTCTGAGCCTGGATGGAAGGCAGAGATGGCAGCCAAGTGAACCCTTATTGATGGCATGGACAGCCCCTGCTGCTTGAGATGGAGGAGATAGTCTAATATGAGTGGCATGGAGGCGAGCATTGGGACAAACGGTGCTGCGCCGACCAGATTGAAAATCTCTTCCACTTGGCAAGGTAGGTAGCTCTGGTGGAAGGTTTCCTACTGCCAAGGAGGACTTGTCTAACCAGGTCTGAGCAACAGAGCTCTGTCCGGTTCAACCGATTGAATGGAAGGACTGTGAACTGGTAGTGGGTGTCATTCACCACAAACCTGAGGTATTTTCTGTGGGACAGAGTTATTGCTATGTGAAAGTATGTGTCCTTCAAGTCAAGGGCAGCATACCAGTCTCCTGGATCCAATGAAGGGATGATGGAGGCCAAAGAGACCATGTGGAACTTGAGCTTCTTCACGAACTTGTTGAGCCCTCACAGGTCTAGGATGGGCCTGAGCCCACCTTTGGCTTTCGGTATTAGGAAATAAGCTTCTCATGACCATCCCTGTAGTCATGGTCCGGGCAGCCGCACCAGCACAGTCAAAAGCTGCCTACAAGGAGGCCCTAGAAATGAGTTTGCCTTCCTCCACAAGGCATTAAATTGGGAGCAGGAGTCTGGTGGTAATAGCGTGGCAAACTTGACCAATGCTCTGCAGGTGTTAAAGAAGTACCTACTAATGATGGCCTGCTGGTTTGAAATGCGGAGCTGCAAACCACCGGTGGCGTAGACTTTTCTCCCAAACAAGTCCACCTTTTTCACCTCCTGATTTTTAGGGGAGGATTCCTGAAACCCCCGATACTCCCTTTGCAGCATCCACCACCAAAGAGTCGGGCAGAGGAGGAGTATAGAGATGCTCACATCTCTTTGAGGGGACAAAATAGCATCTCTCATTTCTCTTAGCTGTAGGGGGCAAAGAGGCCGAAGTCTGCCACAAAGCTTTTGTGGTCTCGTTTATAGTTTTGATTAATGGCAGTGCAATACGTGAGGGCCTAGAGGGGGAGAGGATGTCCACCATGGGATCAGCATCCTCTTCCAGTTCCTCTGCCTGGATCCCCGGGTTCTGGGCCACCCTGTGCAGCAACTGTTGCAGGACCCTGTTATCTTCCAAGGCCGGGGCTATCGAAGTGCCCGCAACCGCCTCATCTGAGGAGGATGAGAGCACCATCATATGGCCTTGGTAACTTCCCTCGGCACCAAGAGGGTCACGTTGTTCATTGGGCTGCTGGTGCCGAGGAGGTCAGTGTCAAGGAGGTCACTGGTGCTGGGATGGTTGCCAGTGCCGGGGCCTGAGCAGCAGGCAGAGGTATCAGCATTGTTTCCAGTGCCAGCTGCTGTGACATGACCTTTGCCGACCTGGATCTTGACACCTGGCTCTGACCCTGGGCTTGATGATAGGCCCAGGGAGTCCAAAAGGGCCACTGAACTGGTGGTTGCCATTGAGGTGGCCACGCCACCGAGATCTAGACCTCCTGCTGCTTGACCTATGTGAATGATAGGACTCTGCCTCAGACTCCGAGGTCTCCAAAAAGGAAGACCACGGAGGAGTGGTACTGGGTGGTGCCCATGAGCAGCACCAAGCCTCTTGGGATTGGTGCAGTCCCCACATGTGGGCAGCCCGCACTGGGAAGTGGCACAGCAGAGATGGGGAGCGGTGTGTCATCAACTCCGGCTTGCCCCTAAATGGAATAGGAGGCCAGGTTATGACTGGTGACTCAGCCCTCCTTGGAGAAGGCGGTGCAATCAGGCGAATAAGGTCCTGCACCGCCTCAAAAGTCTCTGGAGTGGAGGGGAGTTGAATGTGCTGGCCATGGCGGTCTGGAGAACAGTAGTGGGCCAGACTCGACTGGACCCCTTGCTGGGCAGAAGTCGACAAGTTTCAGGGAGGTGCCGGGCCCAAAGTAGGCTGCATGGACTGAGGCCTCCCTGCCGCTAGCTCCTTAGGCTTAGGAGAGGGAGAGCGTCCCCTCTCCTGCCTCTTTTTCTTCTGGGGCACCGGGGACAAAGATTGGTGCCTGCCAGAAGATTGGTGCCTGCTTATGTTCGGCACTGTGTTGGTGCCGGGAGTCCTTAGCCTCCTTTCTTGATGCTGGTGCACTGCACACAGAGGATGCGGTGCTTGGCAAGGGCTCCACCAACCAGGGGTCAGACTGTGGGAGGAGGGCTCCCTCCATGAGGAGAATTCTGAGTCTCTGCTCGCAATCCTTGAGGTTCCTTGGCCGAAACCCCTTAAAAATGCGGCACTTGTCCTTTTGGTGACTCTTGCCAAGGCACTTCAAACAAGAAGTGTGCGGGTCACTCTTTGGCATCAATTTACCACAAACTTCACATGATTTGAACTCTGGCAACGGACACATGCCCCAGTGTTAGGGAAGCTTTCAGAAGTAAGAGTGACAGAAGTTCCAACTAGCTGTCACCAGCGGTAAGAAAGAACTGGGAGGGCGCGGGGGGGGGGGTCAGGTTGGTAGGGCCCTATACTGGGCACCATGAAGGTGTGACTCTAGGGGGCACCCAGGCCAACCCTACAGATACTGCTAGGGGAAAAATCTTCTGGCTGTTGTGCAAACGATGTGCGCACACCTGATTGGAATTGACATGAACAAGTACTCGAAGAAGAAACATCTTTACTTCTTCTTCAAGAATTTAAAACACATATGAAAATGCATCTGGTCTGCTTCTACATCTATAGAAGGAGTTAGTGGAGATGCAGTGGAGGAAATGTCTTCTCTCACCATGTTGGAGAATCAAGATTAAAAAAATTAAAAATTTATGAAATCATGCATAGAGTTCATCTCCATCATGAAATCACTGGGCTTACATCATCCTGGTCTGGAAAGATGTTTTCCTAGGAGATGAGACCAGAGAGAGGGAACCAAGTAACATCACTACCTCAACTAGCTCTGGCTCAATCCTAAACACCACCTGGATGCAAGACTCCAGTCACCTCCTCGTTTCTGTGTCTGTTTCCTTCACTGTCTTATGTTTTTTCCTTTCCTATTTTTCTCCTTTTGCCTTCTGTCTAATAAGGATATGCATCTTGCATTATATCCAAGACTGCATCTTTTGTAACATTACTGTGAACCCTGTGACCAGAAAGCCAGCCAAAAGCCTTAACCTGCTGTACCAGTGTTAGGTTTGCCAGGTCTCAGAGTGCAAAATGACGTGCTGACTCATGTGTCTCTAGCAGCGAGGTTGCAAGTAAAAATCAGCACCAGAGATAGAAACTATACTTTTTCTGTATCTTTAATAAAACGTTTAAAAAAATAATGGTGTGTTTGCAATATGACTAAGCAGGCCAAAGCCGTTGTACTCAAACCCCCAACCGTGTTTAACTGTTTAGTGTTCTACAGTGACAGGGTCATGTTTGACTATATGGGACTCTACTTATTCCATTTAAATTAACACAACAGCACACTCTGGGAAGAACAACAGTTGCCAAAATCTCACTCTCTGAAAGGGAGAAGCAAAATATATATGAAGCCAGAAAAGTAAACTGTAAGAGTTTCATGGACTAAAGTAATTATCACTATGCTGATTACTCATCTCTACATCAGGCTTGAATAGGACTGTGTTTTCTTGCTTAACAAGCTCCTTGTAGCGGATAGGGTCCTAGATGGACTCTAGCTAGTAGAGGTGATCTAGAGGCTAACATTTGGAGGAATTGGCAATTAGTGATCACATGCACTTTCAAGTGAGGGCATTTGGCTGCAGATTGTCAAAGTGATTTACAGTCTTAGGTCCTTGATGGACTAATCTTTGTTTTTGGATACCCAGACACAAATGACCAAAACCACATTCTTTCATCTTAGAGATTGCACACCTTTCCTTCATGTGCAGACCTAGCTACATTTATCCATGCTTTCATTTTACTTTAAGGCCAGACTACAACAGCTCTCTATCTGGCTCCCTCAAAGACCATGTGGCATTCAGCTAGTGAGAAACATGGCTGCTCAGCTTTGGTATATGGTATTTTGGCAAGATGTTAACACACCAAGTTTTGGTACTCTATGCTGGCTACCAGTTCACATCTGCGTGAAATTCTAGATATTAGTTACAGTCTATAAATTCCAGAATGGTCTAGGCTTTGTTTATCTCAAAGACCACCTCTCACTCAGCTCTACCATGGCATCTGTACTTGAAGAAATACTTCAGCTGTCTTCATAAAGGAGGTATGGGGACTGGAAGAAAGGTGCACTCTGTATTGGTCCCTCACCTCGGGTACATGGGCCTATTGGAAGTCACTCTGAACCCAAACCAGGTCATAGCTAGAAAGCTCTTCAAAATGCACTGCCTTGTTTAAAGCTTCTACAAGTGCCAGACATTGGTTTCCAAGCTTGTGTTACCCTATTTTATGCAGTTGGTTTGCCTAGCTTGGGCTGAGTGGCATTGATATTGGCATCCTACTTTGGGGAAGTATATTTCTTTTATCTAAATTATGTTAACTGTGCTCTAGTACTGTGGCAATGAGCACATTATGAAGGCATGTAACAATAATATTCTGGACTGTTCATGGCAGGGTTTCAGAATACAGTTCGTTTTAGGAAGCCTTCCCCTGAAGCAAGTCATATTATTCATATGGAGAGACCAGACTTGTATCTGGGGTGCTATATCAATCATACTCATCCCCATTTCTACAATCAAAGTGCAGGTGTAAGTAACAATATATGTGGGGGATGTGAGATTGGGAAGGGGGGGAACTCTGGGTTCACTAAATGGAGCCCAAGTCACATACATGAAAGAAGCCTGCTTGCCCGCCCACTATGCGTGAACTCCTGGTTCCCTACCATACCTCTGGGGAGGCAGGAATTAAATCCAGAAATAAATACTGCACTCAGCTACAAAACACTTTTACCAGGGCAGAAACGACAACTTAATGAGAACCAGGAACTATTTGGCCCCCCTCCCCCCTGACACCTCCCACCGAGCAGTAACACAACGTATTGCATCCCCACTGCCTCAATATACTGACGAAGCCAATTAAGAGTCCAAATGGTCCCCCAACACCAGTCGCCTTGTTCCAAACAGGATACACGTCAGCTGGGAACTGGTACTTGGGGGTGATGCAAGCTTGAAGGGGTGAATCCCAGTCTCGACTGTGTTGCCTGACAGGTGTCTCCATGAACCCCATGCTGGTCAGGACTCCTGGGTCTGCACATTCAGCCCAGCTACATCCTCACTCCTAGGTTGATCCCCTAGGCCTGAGTCAGGCTATGTTTGGCCCTACTCCCTCCAGCAGCAGCGTGTGATCACACCTCCATCCCCTCTACACCCCCATTTCTGTGTCAGCCAGTTGGCTCACAGCTAGTCACAGGCCACCTGGTTAATCTCTTGTCTCCACTTGGGCAGTGTGGAGCTCCTGCTCTGGAGTGGCATTCCTGTTCTCCAATGGGGAGAGGGGCAGGCTGGCTGGCTGGCAACAAGGAGTGGGATTTCCTTCCAGTCCTCTAGCCCTCTGGTTCTCAACCAGGGGTACATGTAGGGGTACATCAACTCATCTAGATATTGGCCTAGTTTTACAACAGGCTACATAAAAAGCACTAGCAAAGTCCGTATAATCTAAAATTTCATACAATGACTTGTTTATGGACACTTTTCAAAGATACCATAATAGAGGCTCAACTTAAATGTATACCCCAAATTAAAAAAACACAGTAAAAGACCTAAAAAAGAGCCACCGTGGCTTAACAACCATGTAAAAGAAGCAGTCAGAGATAAAAAGGCATCTTTTAAAAAGTGGAAGTCAAATCTTAGTGAGGTAAATAGAAAGGAGCATAAACACTGCCAAATTAAATGTAAAAATGTAATAAGAAAAGCCAAAAAGGAGTTTGAAGAACAGCTAGCCAAAAACTCAAAAGGTAATAACAAAATGTTTTTTAAGTACATCAGAAGCAGGAAGCCTGCTTAACAACCAGTGGGGTCCCGGACAATCGAGATACAAAAGGAGCACTTAAAGATGATAAAGTCATCACAGAGAAACTAAATGAATTCTTTGCTTCAGTCTTCACGGCTGAAGACGTTAGGGAGATTCTCAAACCTGAGCCGTCTTTTTTAGGTGACAAATCTGAGGAATTGTCACAGATTTAAGTATCACTAGAGGAGGTTTTGGAATTAATTGAGAAACTTAACAGTAACAAGTCACCGGGACCAGATGGCATTCACCCAAGAGTTCTGAAAAAACTCAAATGTGAAATTGTGGAACTATTACCTATGGTTTGTAACCTGTCCTTTAAATCAGCTACTGTACCCAATGACTGGAAGATAGCTAATGTAATGCCAATATTTAAGAAGGGGCTCCAGAGGTGATCCTGGCAATTACAGACCGGTAAGTCTAACTTCAGTACCGGGCAAATTAGCTGAAACAATAGTAAAGAATAAAATTGTCAGCCACATCGAAGAACATAAATTGTTGTGCAAAAGTCAACATGGTTTCTGTAAAGGGAGATCATGTCTTACTAATCTATTAGAGTTCTTTGAGGGGGTCAACAAACATGTGGACAAGGGGGATCCAGTGGACATAGTGTACTTAGATTTCCAGAAAGCCTTTGACAAGGTCCCTCACCAAAGGCTCTTATGTAAATTAAATTGTCGTGGGATTAGAGGGAAGATCCTTTCATGGATTGAGAGCTGATTAAAAGACAGGGAACAA